TTGGGAATATTTACATCTAAACCATTCTAGTTTTCCAGTCACCAGCAACAATTCTGCTGTGGCTTATTGTGTACTGAAGGTATGACTATTCCAGAAACCATCTGCAATCATTGTGTAGAATTGTTGTCCCCTCAACATGACTGTATCTGTGGTTGTGTCTCTCTGTCACAGAAACAATGACAAAAAGCAATGAAATGCCTTGAAACAGGAGGAAGGTACACCACTCAGAGCTTCACTGCTTTGCTTCCGAAATTCAAAGAGTGGAACAGGCCTGCTGTAATGTCCCAGAGTTAGGCAGGGATATTTGGGGTTAAGTGCACCACTTGCCTCTAAACAGCAACACTTCTAAATGTCTCTTCCTGTCATCTCATACTTGTTGAATGAGAGCAATGTGCTTGAAAGGTCAGATGGTTTCAGGCTAACCCCTTCCAGAGATGAACTTATCTGTGCTTGGAAGACCTAGCTGAACCCCCTCTTCCACTTCCATGGACTACAGCTTTGATAGCTTTGTTATCTGGTTAAGATAGTATACTCACTAAGGCAGGATAGGTGAAAACTTAACATACAGTTTGTCGAAGCTGCACTACTGGCTAGCTGCACTTAACTCAGCAGGAGACTGCATGATCTTCACTTGACAATGAGCCAATATCTACAGAATTCTAGACCCTTTTTTAGCCTTTGAGGGTTGAGTCCTAGATGCTTTCTCTGGTGTGTACTACTCCATTGGGTTAGGCTGCCATCCAGAAGACTGAATACCAAGATCCTGAGGTTTTACTTTACGTGGGTCCAAGCTGCTCTGTAGATCCCAAGTCTTGGAAAATCTCCTGGGAGAATGAAGGAGGGAGATGACATCAGCTGGAAACTTCCCAACTCATTTTGCATCTCACATGCAGACTTCAAGGTTATAAGATTTAGCTGAAATTTAAACTTGGATGAAGTTAACTTCTTGATAGATTTAGTATCTGTTTCTGAACAGGCTAACTAGTTAAGGTGTTTGGACTGAATAATGCAACAAAAGAATGTGAAGCTGCTTCCTTACCAGATAGCAGCCTGCATAGTTGGCAGGGCTCATGCATTTCCAGCACAGTCAGTTCCTACTTGCCCTCCACTGTAGGATGCCAAACTTGTGCTGCTAGAGTTATCTGAACTCATGTACCCATAAATCTGTGTGTCTTGAGGAATCCTACAAACTTCATGGGAATGTGCAGAGTCTGCCTGTAGGTGGTTGTATAGCCGTGCACAAAAGCCTAATGGTTAGCCAGTAAATCATGAACCTGAAGGTCTGAATGTTGTACTATTTCTGCTATAGGTTGTGATCCTGGCCTTGCTAGACCTTCACCTGACCTGCTTCATCAGGTGACAAAGACTGTCCTGAGGTGGTAAGGGAGCAAGGCTAAGGATCTTTGCTCTTTACTTTAGAAAAAGCTTTGAAACTTGAGGAAGGTCTTCATGGATACTCTCTAAGACTTGAAGAATGTCTTGACAGAACCTGTCCTCCATTCCAACTTCTGGCTGCGAGAAGCAGCCTCCCCTTCTTCCCTGCTGTGGGACTACTCAAATTCGTGGCATGCTGACTGTACTGTGAGTAACAGGTGATGAACAGACTTTTTTTTCTGTGAAGAGCTTTGTAAACAGTAGATACCTGCTGGGACTTGGACTGCATTGATGTCTGATAATTCAGGTAGGTACCTAAAACAGTGGATGAGCAGCTACTTGGTGCACTAAAGGTGAAACTGGTGCATGAGCCCCCGGCATTGAAGTCAGACTCTTTGTTATATAAAACGATTAATTAATTTAAAATGCTTGTGGGTATGCTAATTACATTGACAGGTAGAAATGCAGATGGCTGTAGATCTTTCCTGGTAGGCTCTACAGGGCATACTTCTCTTTCTGTGGTAAAAGCAGACTAGAACAGATGTTGCAGTCTTGATTCCCCAAGTGCCATGGAAGAAAGCTAGTACCAATTAACATGATGATGAGGTGCTTTGCTGAAAGGATTACAGCCTGAGACAACTTAGATTGCTAGGCCATCTGTTGTGACACTTCAAAGCCTACCTCCTTCTAGCAATAGCATAACACTTCAGCAAAGTGATCCTGCCTAGTGTTAAATGAAGGTTCAGCAGTCATAAGCATTGTTCGTTGTGCAGTTAGCTAGGAGACTCTATCCATTAAGAAGGACAAATAGCTTCTAATTTGGCCTTCAACTACTGAAAACTAGCCAAGTAGCAAGGCATGATGCCAGCTGTGACTGCCAGGGGAGGGTTCTACCATCGCAGATGAGGCAGTGTAGCACAGTAGTACTTAAAATGTACACCTCTTCTGTCCTTTCCCAAAAGCTAGCAGCCCTTCTGCTCCTAACCAGAGTTGGTCTAGAAGCTTTACTTGATCTAGATCTGCTGTGTTTCATCCAAGGCTGAGATCAGGTAAAACTATCACAACGTTTATTTTAAGACCTGAGACATTAGACGGGACACATGATTACAGGAACACACTCAAGTAGATGGAAGTGTTATTCCAACCTTCACAAATCTCTGCACTGCTTAAGAAGTGCAGGACATGCTAGTATGATACTATTTCCCAAAATAATTGGTGAGGAAAGTTGCCAGTTTCGTCCAGGTGGCTGCAAGCTCCATCTTTGTTCCTTCTTCCAATTGCTCTGACACCTTGATACAGAGTTTTCATATTTTAAGCAAATTCCATCATATTCTTTAAGCTTTCTTTTGGAAGGGTTTTTTACAAGCTTTTGAGATCTCCTGTGCAACCAGGCTTAATCTGTTTCTGCAAGTTAATTCATTTCTATACTGGAAGCTTAGAATTTGACTGGCTGCAGTTCTGGTACAACTTGTCTTATACTAATGCTTCTTGCACATGGGCAATGAAGATCTGTCTTTTCGTTTTGGGAACAGGAACAGATTTGTCTATAGCTACTGTGGTGTCCTAGGGTTTGCTTTCTTTTTACTCTGCTCAGCCAAATTCTCCTGTCTAGCTGAACCGCAGATTTTCTGAAGCCATCTTCTGTCTGTTGCTAATCTTAGGCTCTTTGCTGCTTATTCTGTTTGTGTAACTCCCAACAGAACTCCTTGTCTGCTGAGTTATTGCAGCATTGCTTCTTCCTGTTGTACATGCTCCTGCTATGTTGAGTTTGAGCCAGATGCTAGTGTAGTTCAAGCTGTCTACCTCATGTATGAGCTGGTAAGCTGTGCCATGCTCATCCTGCTCTTTTGCCCTCCTCTTGCAAGAGCATTTGAGTGCTGACCTTCCATATCTTGCTCACTTGCCAGTTAAATCTGAAATATCCCATCTTTGGCAACCACTTCAGAGCATTAGCTGGAAGAATGCATCTAACCTCTCTGTTATTAGACAGTAGTTTAGATCGCCCCCTTTCCCAAATGTCCAGGCTAAAGCATTATTCTCCTTATTTCATAAGGCAGTCCTTAAGGTGAAGAGCATTACTACCAACAGTCCTGCAGGACTGCAACTGGTGGAGGTCTGTCTGTAAAATCCCAGTACTTCCATGATGGGTTTGTGACAAAGACTAGTAGGAACTTAGCCCTTTTCTTAGACATTGTCAAAGGCAGACCTTTGTAAATTGCTTTAACCTGAGGTTCTCACCTGTAATTCTGAACCCTTGAACAAAGGAGGATGTCTTTTGAAGACAGTGACTATGCTTGTCCAGCTGGAACATAAACCACAATTGCATAAGGAACACTGATGGACAAAGAGGATCTGACCCAAACAGGATTGCTTTGCTAAGATTGTATGTTTCATTCTGCCACTTAAAGGCTGTGTGAAGCTGGGGCTAAGTAGTAATTCTAAAACTAAAACTCTTATAGTTAATGTGCTGCTTAGCTGTAGTGATGTTTCTCTGTCTATCAACCAGAGGAGCCTTTATCCTTAGAAGTGAAACACTCTGGATAAATCTATTCTTGTGCTACTAGTTAAAACAAACAAAAACCTCTCCTCTCTTGGAAAAGAAGAGCCATGGATCTTTGGGACTTTCTGATACTATTGTCAGATGTTCCTATATACTGTACAACTTCTTATATGCTGTCAGCTGCCTCTGCTACAAAACCAGAGCAGTGAACGCATGTGAAGTTCCTGTGATATTTATTCAAAGTGGAGTAACCAGTAGTTGTATGGAATAGTTGGTCTGTATCAAAGTGTGGGACTCAAAGGTGTGGGAATGTACCAAGTTGACTATAAAGGTGTTTTTGTTTGTTTGTTTGGTTGGTTTTTGTTTGTTTGTTTTTCCTACTGCTGAGTCAGGTTCAAGGGACAAACTTTCCAAATCCTTGTGTGTCTCTTCCTAAGATAGCTACTTGCTGGTTCTTTTAGTATCTGTCTTTCCTAGGCACTGGATGATATTCTTGGCCCCTCCAAGTAAAACACAGTGTTTTCATTAGCCTCATGACTCCAAAAGGGAGGTGTGTATAGATGCTGGTGTTGAAATGTATGATCTGTGATTGTCCTGTAGTGCAGTTAATGGCAGTTCAGTCTCTGACTTCTGTCAGTGTGTTTGGAAGTTAAAGGACTGGGTGGGAAGACTCTGATAGAAGTTTGCCCATCCTCCTCTACTATAGGAGTCTCCAGAGGCGAAGGCTGACTGCATTCCAGTCAACTGAAAGGTTGCCACTTTGCTTGAAGCCTGTCTTGTAAGTAGGTCTCTTGATTTGCCTGGCTGTTTTGTTTTCAGAGTCTAAGTTAGTTCAGCAATATTTCTACTTCATCATGAAGAGAAACCAGGTTGCACCATACTAAGGGGAGGTATGGTGGTAATGTGCTTTCTTTTCAATTTATGGAACAGTAAAACAACCTAATATTCGAAGCCCAAACCTCAGAGGATTGCCCAGGTGTCCTGGAAAAAGGTGATCCTTGGAATTGCTGAAATAGCCCCTTTAATATATCAGTGAAGCTTGTCAGTGGCATCTTCAAGAATACTGTGCTTTACAGTGAACCCGTTCACTTATTAAAAACTTGCTGTTTTTTCATCTCCAATACAGGATCTCAGTCTACCCAATGGCACACCTGTGGACACTTCTAGCCCAGCTTCCTCCTCATCCCTTCTCAACAGACTGCAGCTGGATGATGACTTGGATGGGGAAACCAGAGACCTCTTTGTTACTGTTGATGATCCCAAAAAACATGTGTGCACAATGGAAACGTATATCACATACAGGGTTACGACAAAGGTACAAAGCAACATTCTCCTTTCTTACTACTTTTTTCTCTGGGAAGTTTGTTTAGGACATGTTCTGGATGTCTGTGCCTTGCCTCGTATTTCCTTAAGGACAAGAACTTAATGTCTTTCCTTGTGAATGTGTTGAAGGTGTGACTTCTCTTAGCAGAACTGTTACTACTTCAGTATATGAAACTATGCAAAACTTTTAATGTGTCAGTTTAGATTTTTGTCTCTGACTCTTAAATAGAACTGTTTATAAACTTGCAAAGCCAGTTTCTTTCATTAACTTGAAAGTTTGTTCATATAAAGTAATCTGACACCAATCTGGTGTGAGTTACCTCCCCTGAAGGGGAATGTGCCTTGTTGATTCACTGTTAATCATCTCACATTTGTGCCTATCGTTTTCTGAAATGCTTCGAGCTTGTTCCTTTAAGTGTTTACCACACTTCCTCTATCAGCCACTTACCTAAATCATAATCCTGATCCTCAACTGTAAACTAGCTTCCATGCAGTTGTTGGTACAGAAGGCTGTATAGCTGCTGCTAAAACTTAAGTAGCCTAAGAATGCTGTTGCCTACCAAAAGAAATATGCTAGAGATTTTTTTTTCAGCATGTGTTGTAGTTCAGTCATTGATGCAATCTAATTACACTAATAAGGAAAGTGATCAGAAAAGTCCACTGCACTCAGGACTGGAATGTTGATTTCTGTTAACTAGCTCATTCTCACTAGCAGCAGCTCCTAGGTGATGTTGACATCTGTTTTGGGCACTTATAGTTAACTACAGCAAAAAGTGTTCAGTAACTTCAGTAGGAATATACTTGATCTACTTGTCCAAAAAGATTAACATTCCTCTGGCCTACTTGAATGGCACTATATACTGGAGAGAATATTTTCCTTTGAGATAAGGAAGCCTTTACATACCACTTTTCTTTTTCTTTGTCAGAATGTCTATTCTAAAATTCTACTTTCAGACTGCACAGGAGAAAGTGTGGCTTCTCTAAAAGAGCAGCTACCTCTTACTGCACACTTAACTTAGGCCTGTCATTCTTTGTTGCTCTAAGTGTCTTAATCTTGCAAGAAATGCTGTATTTTACCTACTAGAAAATGCTAAGAAGTATTGTAAGAAACTTTTCTACTTGGAACAACTTAGCCTTCAGCTATTACATGACCAGAACAAATAGGAAGCACAAAATGAGATGCAACTTTCCACAGGCAAATGGCTAAAATTGGCTAAAGTTGTTTCCCCATTAAATTACAAGCCAAGTATTCTGTCAAGATAAATGCAGTGACACCCTAGTAATGTTCCTCTGCTTGGAAACCTGTGTTCATACAAGGGTTCCCTTCCATCTTAAATCAGAATTCTGGAATGTGGATAAGGTATTTACTATATTTAGATCAGATGTATTACCCAGCAGTGTCTTTTTTTAAATTTAAAACCCCCTCACCCTGTACTGGTGATTTTGCATATCTACCTACCAGTCTGTTAATACTTGCTTTATTTGGGATCTCACTGTAGCACATAAATCTGCTAGTTCATAGCCTTACAATACTATTGTGAAACAGTGCATAATTTATTCTTATCAGTCATCATTAAAGCCTTACTTCTTCAGGCTTATTATTCTTGTAAACTTCTGTCTAACCTCTAGGATCAGCACCTCTAGCACTATCTACCATTGTTTAAAAAAAGACTGTTTGGAAGACTAACACTATTAATGGCCTGATTCATTCTTGTCATATGAACAAGGCCTCTTTTGATGCCAAGCTAATTGCCCAATCAGCCATTGTAGCTGAAAGCAGTAATTAAACATGGCAAAAAAGTTGCACAGGAATAATTCCTAGACAGTGATGAGGATGAGTGATACTTGCACCTCCATGTTGTAGGTCAAAGTCCTATAGTAGACCTTGGTCCTGTCACCAGTGTAAGGCCATACTTTCTCATCACCTGCCTTGCAGTCTTGCATGAGGGGGTTTGAGAGCTTTCAGGGACTGAAAGTGTCTCTGTGGTGGCTCTGGATATGGAGGCAGGGATGGCTGCTTTCACCACTGAAAATGCTACTGGAACCTCAAAGGTTTAGGTGGACATTGGTCCTAGAATGAGTTATGCTGAAGACTTCCTTGCTGTAAAAAGCAGCATCAGTAGATGGAAGAGGGGAATGTAATTGCTAGTGCTGAAATGCATGCTTGTGCCTGTGACTGACTATACCACTGTTAGGGAAGAATGTAACCTGACCATGGTCTTGTTTTTATGTTGTGTTGTGTTTTTTTTTTTTTTTTTTTCTCTTTAGAAAGGCCCTTCATTGTAACAGCAAAACAGAAGTCTTGCGGTATACCCCAGACTTCTCATGTACTGATAACTTTGTCAGCAGGTGGTGGTGGCTGAGGAAGAGTCCAAAACAATGGTTTGCAGGGAAGTTGGGAAGAAAGCTTAGAGTTTACTTGGTCCTGCATGTGCCCCTGCATTTATAGCTTCCCAGTAAGAGACAGGTGCCATTCCCCAGCCTCTCTTCTGGGTGAATGCATTGAAAGAACATAATGGGAATCCCCAGAATAACAAAGTCAGTGCTTCAGACCTGGTTCTCTTGACTCTTCCATACCCTATTTTCTTCTTTCTAAAAGCAGTTTTCTTACACGGGGAGGCTAGTGAAATCAAAAAGGTGGGTGAAACTTGTGTTGGAATTTAATCTGTCTTGGCTGTGATTATTGAAATGTTGTCTCAGGTGTTCTTGATGATACACCTCTTCAGATACCGATGTGTACTCTAGAGGGATTTTATCAAGCAGATGTTTGAGGAGCAAGGAAGAAAATTAAGCTTACCCTTATGTAGTCATTTCTCCTGAGGGAAACATAAGTAAGAGTACTTTTAATTTCACTGTCACTGTACTTTCTAGGACAGCAAGGCTGCCTTCTGTGCCTTTTCCCACAGAGGCCTGAACAGCTGTGTGCCGTTCCTCAGAGTCATGCAGTTGCTCTGCAGGCTTGAAGAAAGAGGCTTTCAAACCAATCAATACTGATGTGACAGTCTCCATGTTTTTTCCTGTCCTTCTCCTCCTGCTTCCAGTGCATGTACTGGGTAGGTTACCTGAGCACATGAAACAGCTTGATCCCTGGAGAGGAGCAGGTGCAAGTGCTATGATCTCTTTTTCAAACAGGCTAAGCTATATGAGGCAAACGAAACTATGAATTGCTAACCTTGTTCCCTTCCCCCCTCTGCCATTCTTCTCTTTTTCTAGTTGAAGATTTTGCCCCAAATTTAAATGGTTACACGAAAGGGAATCCACAATCAGGCATAGTGAGTGAGGGACTAGAACTAGAGTACAAAAATACTTTCACATAGTCATCACAGGCTAGCTTTAGGTTTGGCTGCTAACTCCTTTCAAGAAAGACAAGAATCTTACACAAGATCAAGACTTGGTAATTGCCTTAATATTGCCTCAAGTCAAAACTATTCCAACAACAGAGGTGAAAGTGTCTGTAACCCTGCCTGCTTTCCAGCAAGTAAAGCTGAGCCTAGAATACTGCAGTGCTGACTTAGTGGAACTGTGCTGGAGTTTTCCAATAAATCCCTGAAAATGTCTTGCCCATTATTTTGGGGAGGTTATGATCTGCCACATAAGTTTCTCAGCTTCCTTTGGGAGAAAGATGTGTACTTGCAAGATGAGATTTATGGATCCTACGAAGAAAGCAGGAAGAATGCAAGTGTGTCAAAACCAGACATTTTGCTTGCCATCCCTGGACAGTGGCAAGACCCTCTTCCTTTTCGTATGCAGTCTGGAAAAAATAACTTGTGCTAAGCTAATGAACAGTTTGATCTGAGATCCAAATTCTTTCAGCATTAGTGAAGTGTTGTTAAAACCTTGAAGGGCCCTTATATTCTGTCCAAGTAGTCTTTGAAAAGCTTATTTGCTGTCTAGATTTGACAGCCTGTATAGCAAACATTGAAATGCTGAGGACTATGATGTATTTTCATTTGCCTCCCTCTGAGGAACAAAACCTGATATATGGAAAACTTTGCAAATCTGCTTGTGATGTAAAGGCAGCAGGAGCAGTTTGCTAGAGATGAGCAATAACTAATGTAGTTTGTGCGCTGGGACTTATCCTGCCTTGCTACTTCTAGGCTAAATATTACCTATATAGTTTTCCTTAACTGTTAGCAGAATACTGGTTAATAAGGTTCCCAGTGCTAACAGATGGGAGACTTTACCTTCATTTTCATGTTGCAGGATAAGACGCTGTAGTGTGATTACTCTCATTCACTCACTGTCTGACCTCTTAAGAGGCCTTTGCCCAGTGACAGCCAGTTCACAAAAGCTCTCCCTACTGCTAAACCATTACTTTTTTTAACTTATTTTCAGGTCATCTCCTGCAAGGAGACCTTCTTCAGCTGAGGTATAGCTGCCCTGTTAACAGACCAAAGCAATCAGCACCATTGGCTGAGGGCTGTCTACATGTGTGAATTATCTTGTTCTAGCATAATGCTGTTCAGTGTCTTATTCAAAACAGTTGAAAATAATTCATATGAAGTCTCAGTTTTATTTATAGCGTGGCACTCTAGCATATTAAATAAGCTGGTATTACTCAGAGGTGTAGCTGAGTAAAGCACAAATCTGCAGTGGATATCTATGTCTTGGTAGTCCCTCATCTACAAACACAACTGTTCCATTGGTGAGCATTCATTATGTTAGTCCATGGACCAATGCACTTATCTCTTAACACAGCTAGCAGGTCAAAGGAGAGAGGAGGTGAGCTTGATTTCTTTATGTGTCTATGCCTTCCTTTTCTAGAAACTAGACCATTTCATAGCTAATATCACATTAGCATGCTGTTTATAGTATACTAGAGCTACTGCTTAGCTGATAGTGTGTTAAGGCTGCTAGCTTCACCCTAGAAAGAGATTTCTGGCATAGAACTTGTATAGGATCCACAGTGTGGTTTGGTGGGAGTAATGTGCAGTAACCGAAGAGTTGGAGCCATCCAGAGAGCAAGTGGAGAGCTAGATTGTATCTAAATGCTGCTGCTTGGATCTTTCCAAATACATGGTGGTTGCTCTCGGTCTGGAAGTAAATGCAAAATCTCTGCTGGAATTTAGCAGGCAGTTGTCGTGGCTAGGAGTAGCAAAGCAACCTGATGCTGTACTTGTTGTCAGTTCAAAGCTAGGAGAGCTGGTGCATTCCCCACAATGCAGTGGTTTTGATGTTTAGCTGTAGACATGTAGTGTGCTGGCTCTGCAGCATCACCTTCATTGTAAGATAGTCTCGATGTTGCAAGTGACTAAGTATAGCTCTCTAGGCTTTTGTGAGCTGTGCTTATCAGTGGGGCGTAATCATAAGGGCTATCTACCTTCCAATCATGGCTATCACAATACCAGGCTCTCTAGCAGACACTCCTAGTTTCATTATTGCTTTTAAGGAGTTGTAATAGGTGCTGTGCTTGCAGCCCCATGCAGTCAGCTTTCCAGGCTATGTGCTGTTCAAGGACTGGATAAAACATTTGCTAGCAGTTTCTCTGCATGCTTACCTTCCGTCTCAAACTTGTAATGGCAAGTTTAAACCCTTGCCCTAAAGAGTGAAAACTTTAAAGATTTAACTTTAAACACTGGAAGGGTTCAAGGCCAGGTTGGACAGGGCTTTGAGCAACCAGATCTAGTGAAAGGTGTCCCTGCCTGTGGCAGGAGGATTGGAACTACATGACCATTATGGTCAATTCCAAACCAAACAATTCTATGAATCTATAAACTTTATGTACTGATATCGCTAATCAAGCATACTTAGTGGAACTGTGCTTGAATCGTCAATAAATCCCCGGAAATGTCTTGCCCATTTTTTTTTTAATTATTATTTTTACAAACAGTGTAAACAAACTCATTTCATCCTCTTGAAAATGAACAAAACCAGTCCTTCAGCAAACATAGCAATGGCTTATGTTCTAATCTTTTAGCTTTGAAGGTGTGTACTGAGCCTGTCACTTCTGGAATATGGTGCAGTGGTGAAACACTTTCACCCATGGTTAACACACATCACAGAACAAACAAGTCACTAAATATCTTTATTTTATCCATCAAGAATTAAAAGCAGTCTCGTCCTTGGAATTAAGAATTCATAGTCTTCCCCTCAAACTTGTAATTGCCAAGACATTAACATGGTACACAGTACTCCCATCTCCACAGACTCCTCCCATAAAGTTTATCTGAGCAGAACATGTAATGAAGTACAAATAGATCTTAAGAACACATCAGCTCCAAGTAATAATTTTTCTTATTTCTGGCTTTTCCACTGCTTGAAAGGCCAGAGGATCTTTCTCTCGTGCTGCCTGCAAACAAGATTTTGGAGGTGGAGTCCCCATGCAAGGCTTGTCTGACCTCACTCTTGCCAGTGATGGCTGTACTGCATTTGCTGATAAGCTCTTCAGTGTTCACTAAGTATATCCTGTTCTTTTCCAGACCACGCGAGCTGAGTTTGATTTGCCAGAGTATTCTGTCCGCCGGCGATACCAGGACTTTGACTGGCTGAGAAACAAACTGGAAGAGTCTCAGCCAACGCATCTCATTCCAGTAGGTAGTAAGCAAAAATCTGCTATTAAAGACAGTTCTGTATCTGCCTTCCAAGGGTGATATTTTGGCGATATGTCTCTTTGGATTTAAATACAGCATGTGATTCTCTTGAGTATTTAGATTTAAATACAGTACTGAATTCTCTTCTAGTTGAGTGGGAAGAGCTTCTCATTTTTGACTGATTATGAAGCTTAGACTTTTTTTGGGTTGCAAACCTGAGAGGTGAGCTTTGACAGCCTTCTGTAGGGCAATATGCATGCAAACCACGTTTGTTGTGGCATAAATGGAATAAACTTCATCTGTTTGCTCAATTATTACATCAAGATTTCCAAGTATCTGAGGCTTATAAAAAGACACACAGGTACTTCAAGTCCTAGTCTCAACTGTCTTTCAAGGTGGCCTTTTAAGCTGATTTTAAAGAGGATATTTTAAAATTATTTGTGCTAACACTTAATAGCACAGTCTTACAAATGCTAGCCTCTGGCTTGGTAGCCATTGCGTGCCTTCAGTAGGCAGAAGTTTAGCTAATCAGATTATAAACTACTGCACCTCATCTTATCACTGAAGCGTGCAGTCTGACCACCTTATGTGATATGAAGAGGTTGATACTGATCGTCATCAGTCTGTTTTTCACGCTGTAGAAGATGTGAAAAGGTAGGAGGCCTCTGAGATCACCACCATCAGCTCTTTTGAACAAAGACATTCAAAAAGGCCTCTAGGAAGCCAATTGTTGGAAAATAGAAACACTGCTAGCATTCCTTAGCATGCCCATCTGAGATGGGTAGGTGAAGTTTCTCCACTTTCCCTCCCTCACCAACGACTAGGCTAAGTGTGAAGTATTTAGTTAGGCTGTTCCAGGGTGGAGAGCTATTTAAGTCCTTAATTACTCTGCGACTTGCCTCTAAGTAGAATAATAGCTCAGTCTCTCAAAGATAAGAAATACTTCACAAAATCATGTGACACCAATAACTAGCAGAAAATATGTTTACTGAGGGGTAGGGAGAATAGAAGAGAGCGTTAGCTTGCTGGGGTAAGGTGGAGACATGAGATTGTGTTAGTTGCTCAGACCCTTTTTTCTTCCTCCCTGTTCTCTGAACAGCTGTAACTATAGAGGTTGAGATTCTTGAGTGTACTAACAGGCTGCCAGTCCTGCCCGAAGGCTGCAAGGCAATAAATAATAGTCTAGTAGCAGAAGGTGAGTCACAGCCAGGGAATAAAGCTGCTTTGCTGTGACCTGGAATTCATCGGACACAGATTGGCAAATTTGCTACAAGTGGCTCTAATACTGGACACAAAACCAGCTGCAGAACAAGGCAATCTCTTAAATGCCTCTCCTCTAGAAAAAGTGGAAGCATAAGAATGGACTGACCTCTTTTAACTGTCTATGCATATGTTAGAAGTTATGGAATTTCCTATTAATCTCCTCCATGCAGTGGTAGGGCAGGGAGATTGCTGAATGCTTTTTTTTTATTGCCTGGATGTAGATGGGGCATAGAGGCTAATGGCAGTTTCAAGTGCACTGTGACTCAAATGTATTCTCAAAGGATGTTTCAAGCCAATCTAAGAGCGTCTGTATTTGTAACTGCAGATGCTGCAATCCCTGGAGGTCTTCTGTCTAATAAAATACCGAAAAGGGATTGTTTTCTCAATCTTAGTACAGTGGCACTGCCTAAAATCTTCCTGTAACAAATGATGTATCTTCTCAGTTCAGTGAGTCACGATAGCCTACACTTAGGAGCCCAAACTAAATAGAATATGGGCTTCTTTTAATTTATTTGCATAGTGATTTTTACTTTTTAAAAATGATGTGAGATTTGCTGTAATCTGTTCTTTCAAACAACAGTAAAAATGCTCTCAGATCTCTAGACTAGGAAGGTAAGCCTAACATGGCCAAGGATCTTGTCTTTGGATGGTGATGTCTAGATACTCGAAGCCGTTTCTGACTGCAGTGAACTCTGCTCACATGTCACAGCAGGGAAGAGTAGACTATTAAGTTGGAAGGCTATAAGGTAGATAATGCACAGTTAAAGGAGGATATCAGTTGCTAGCTGTGTGTACTGACTACTTGGGATGGACCTCCAAAGGCCTGAAGTGTAAAGCAGTATAACTACAGCTATAGCTAAAACCAGGTTAAATGTCAGAAGTCTCTGTAATAGAGGTGCACCCTTCTGTGGATCTCAAATGCTCAAACTTTAGTGATTATTCAGTGCTAGTTTGCATGTGTTTGGTTGAACTAAGGTTCTTTGAACTAGTCTTCCAGCTTGTCCTTTTCCTCCTGCATATGTTGCCAAGATAGTGACTTCCTAAAGTATAGAGTTTCAGCTAAAATTTAGAAAGCAAGGGAAGAGTTTCTTCCTTCCTGAAGACTATTGCACTAAGCATTATTCTTCTGAAGATGTCTAATTAGAGTGTACCTTACACTGGTTTAACTAGAATGACTGATCTGAATGCTAAGCATAATAAGTCTTAAATTATAAGAACTAAAGGTAGTGGTCAAAAGGTAGGAGCTAAGTCATGCTTGCTGCAATTTTTTAGGAGGTGCAGTCTTCCTGTACATTCTACATCAGCTAGGTTATGGTGGGAAAGGCATATGCATACACAATTCAGATTTCAGGTGACAAAGACTCTTGGCAGTGGAGAATCCTGATTCCTGAATTTGATGGAAATGGCTGTCATTGCTAGCCTAAGAATAAGTAGATTATCTGTCTGTGGTGACTGTTTCACAAGAATAATACCAGTTTTAAAATGGTGCTTTGCATTTTAATCTTAGAGTACACGATGTCCAGAGGGAACAAAAGCAGATCAAATGTTAGAGCTGAGGCCAACCACGCTGAAGCTTAGTTATCTTCCCTCTGAAGTGGTACTTTGAAGTCTGGAGTCTAACAGGAGGGACTGCAGAACTAGCAAGTTTTGAGGCAGACTGTGCCTTACATGTTAAGCTGAACTGCAGAGATGAACTGGTGGAGTCGAAATAGGCCTAAGATGAAATAGCAGATATGTTGGCAGACCTCTGTCACTTAACACAGACATGCTGAGCAATGTTGGCTATGATAGATGACAGTGTGCAAGTGCTTCAGGAAGGCTTCAGCCTGGACTAAGCGACCGCTTGCTCTGTCAAGCCTCATCTGTCTTTGCTCAGTGTGGTGCTATAACTAAGACTGTCACTTCTTCACAGAAGGGTACTGTCCAGGAGCTCTAAATTGTTCAGAAATGGGGAGTGGAGAGGAATAAGAGTTGCTAAATTTTCTGAGTTTCCTTGGATAGAGCAGCCTTGCTTCAACACTGGGGTGGGGGTGTGTATGCATTGCTGTAGTGAATAGTGTGCAGCTCCACTGGCGTCTCCTTCAGAGCTGGAGCTTGAACATGGATAGCAGTATCAGGGAATACCGTAAGCTATGCTAGAAATACTTGGTGTGAGTACTGTCTGGGCTTCACTTGCATGACTCTCAGCTGAAGTCACTCGAGAATTACTAGTATTAGGCTACACCAGCAAAAGGGTAATTTAGATCAGGGCTTGCATCTCATCTGATGTATGGTTCCTGTTAGCAAACATAACACTTAAGTTCCTGTTAAGTCTGGAGTTTGATTGCTTTGTATGTTTCCAAATTGCAGAAGCAAGTTTTTGATCTTTTGAATCTTGTGCATTTTGCTTGTCTCTGACAGCCTCTTCCTGAGAAATTTGTGGTGAAGGGTGTGGTGGATCGCTTTTCTGAAGAGTTTGTGGAGACGAGGAGGAAAGCATTAGACAAATTCTTGAAGAGAATAACTGATCACCCAGTGCTTTCTTTCAATGAGCACTTCAACGTGTTTCTTACGGCCAAGGTAAGCCAAAAATCTGCAAACACAGTCATTGCCAGGGACAACAGAACAGGGACTGTTGCAGTCTCTTGAAATTAAGGTAAAAAGGCATTAATAAAACTACGTGTGCAAGATGGAGCTTCACCTAAAATACCAGAGTTGTTTGGAACCCTGCATGTTGTGTGTGACAACTGTATGGGTTTCCTTTGCCTGAAGGGAGGGGTGATCTGCAGATTTACAAATTCAGTTCTCCAGCCCTGCTTGTTATGTATCCCTCTGTTTAGAACATACTCCTCTGATGCAACAGAGGTGCAGAATTTAGCAAATTGTAGACTTTGTAAAATCCTCTTCTGGGGAAGACGGAAGTGGGGGAGGAGGAGAGATGTCTCTTGCACAAAAGCTTGCAAATTTCTTTTTTTTTTCTTGTCTGCCTTCTATACTGCTTACACCTGTTGCCTTCAAAACTAAGCATGATGACCTCATTCTTGTTTGTTCTTGGTCAACAACTTCATGCTCATCTTCTATGTGACTCATCCAGCAACAGTGCAATTTTCTTTGGCTGTCTTTTGAACTGTGTTTTAAATAAGGCTGGGAGGACCTACAGTCATGCTTGGGTTTGATCTGATAAGCAAGGAGAGCTGTAAAAGCACGTCTTTCTGATGTCACATTATGCTAGCTCACTCAGATGTGACACTTTAATTTGAGCTTGCTTCAGGCTCGTGCTCTGCTTGCCGGTAATATGAGACTCAATCTCCAGTTCCCTTTTGTTTCCCCTCCATGATGAACTTAACTGGTGAAACAAGCCAGTAATGCAGAATTTGTTTAGCACCTTGATAGTTAAATGTCAGATAGCTTCGTTATGCTTTTCAGCTGTCAAAGCATGATGAAACTTTCTTAGCTGCTTAGTCATCTTCTCCCACCCCTGTAAAATGAATGGTAAGGTCTTTATCCTCATCCCTGGTCAGGGCTTGCCTTTAGAATGCAGAGCATCCAGGGAGGCTGAGGAAAAAGGACAGGCATTTTTCTGGCTGTCCCTAGTGTTAGTGTATTGGAGCAGTGAGATTTCAGTTCAGTGTGCTAGGACTTCAGAATTTAATTACTGCAGGAAGTCACAAGACCACCTTCTGGTTGAAAGAGAAACCAACCTTTCTACAAGTTCCCTGTTTGGACCAGTAACACACAAGAATGCTTGAGAGTAAGTGAATAATTTTGAGTTAAATGGCTGTCTTCTGATGCCTGCTTGCAGGTAGACCTTACGACAGGCAGAAGGCAAGAGTCAAGGAACCATTACATTTAAATGCAAACATAATTCAGAATTATAGTAGCTGCTAAGATGGCAGGTTTTCTTAATCAGACTTGCATTTGACTTGTACTTATGTACAAGTGCTTATGTATATGTTTTGAAGATGGCTGGTTTTTTAAAGAGCACTTAAACTTTTAGTCTGTAGTACCATGTCTTGATTCTTGACTTCTGCAGGTCTACTTGGTTTGAAAACATCTCTTCTTCAGGTTGCATAGGATAACCTAGTTATAACTCTTAAGCCTGTTTTGAGATGTTGAATAGTGACCTCTGCTGGAAGGAGGAAAATGCAAAACGGATGGTGTTTTGTCTAAAACCATTTATTATGATGTGCTGTCAAGGTGAAATCCCCTGAAGATTGTAGGTAAACAACCTTGTTAACATAGGTTGTCTGAATGTAGATTATGCAAACATGTAAAGCGTTGGCAAGCACGTTTAAGCCTTCTGTGCAGGCAACACAGCTACACCTGACCCAGCTGAGCTGCAGTCTGTCTTGAAGAGAAGCTGTTCTAGTCAACCTATGCTGCGCTTTTTCTATGTACAGTCTTACCCTGCCTCCTATCTGACCACACAACTGGTGTGAGGAGGCTGCTGACCAAATAGTCATGCAATATGTAGCTCTGTACTAGGCCATCACAGCCAGCTGGTGCATTTGCATAATACTGCTATTGCAGGTTATGACTTAAAAGTATGTGTGGATCAATGGCATGAACAATATTGGTGGAAACAGAGCTGTTAATACCACTACTTCCCTGGTAACAGTACAGGAACATGAGAAAGTCTGGCCATGTGCAAAGGTGGACCACTTATACTGTACTTCACACCATTCTCCTGGGTTGCCTATCTCTATCCAGAGGTAGTCTTGAAACTGTGCTCAGCTTTACAATTTGTACAAAGTGAGACTTTGTCCAAGGCTACATGTTACCATGTCACATGTAATCTTTTGCTTTCAAGATCTGATCTTGACTGGAAAGTCTCCTTCACTGTATTAATCTTCCAACATGTAAGCGAAATATTTCCAAACTTTTTTTAACTTCCTAGGATCTTAATGCCTACAAAAAGCAAGGAATAGCATTGCTGTCAAAGATGGGGGAGTCTGTGAAATACGTCACAGGAGGCTACAAATTAAGAAGTCGGCCACTGGAGTTTGCAGCCATTGGGGAGTATCTGGACACATTCTCTCTAAAGCTTGGTACCATTGACAGAATAGCACAGCGGATTATCAAGGAACAGTTGGGTAAGGATACAAGTTGCCCTATCATAATACTTCAGCTGGAGTGCTCTGCATCTTGTTCCAGTTGATGGCATGACCAAGACAACCTGAGTCAATGATTCTGGCCTGTAATGAGCCACACAGAGCAAAATGGAGTGCTTCTTGCAGATTTAAAACAGTCCCAAAGCCTAACACAATATCTTATCTTAACTCTTCAAATATTTTTTTAAAATATCTCTTGTTCTTATATTAACCTACTTTCTTCCTAGAGTTGTTTTTGGAAGGACTTTTGGGAAGGGGAAAAACTCCCTAGATGATGATAACCTTTACAGACCTGTCTTAGCAGACCCAAGTTTTACATATGTTTTAAAAACATTATTTTGGCTACTGCACAGATGCAAGTGTCTTTGTATTGGAAGCTTGTAGGAATGCTCATTTAAGCAGGAGGCAACTTGGACCTGTCACCTGTGTGGCCATAAAGCTCCATCTATTGAGATGCTAATTGAACAGGAGACTTGGCTCCCTGGAGTTAATGTTTGCCAAGCTTGATGCTTAGTTTCTTCTGTTTGGTATGAGTGTTTGCAGATTCTTGTACCTTACTCTTACTCTGTTAATCTACTTTTCTGTCTGTCTCTTGCAGAATACTTGGTGGAACTACGAGAATATGGACCTGTTTATTCAACCTGGGGGGCGCTGGAGGTTGAGCTATCAGAGCCACTGGAAGGGGCTTCTGCCTGTATTGGAAACTGCTGCACAGCTCTCGAAGAACTCAGTGAAGACATGACAGAAGAATTCCTGCCTGTGCTTAGGGAATATATATTGTACTCAGAGTCAATGAAGGTAAAGAGAGCCGAGCCCTGGGGCAGAAGACATTGTCATTGAGTTTGCATGGAATGATATATTAGTGAGTTCATTCTTTTTAACGGTGAGAAGGGTTGGTGGTGTGGAAAGTGGGTAAGTAAGTAATACTTCAAGTCAGAGGATGTTTTCATAATCAAAGCTTTGTATGCTTAGTAGCAGGGTAATGCATGGGTAGCACAGTCTATCTGCTTTGCTGTTTAGTGAAGCTAAGGTCGGTAATGCTAGGGTGCACACAAAGTGTTGAAGAGTTGCTCCTTCACCTAAGTGGCAGGTGGTACTCTATAGGAGACATCCTGTGGTTGCCTAGAATCTTCTCTTTGAATTATTATAAAGTCAGCAGAGGCTCAGCATTTCGCTACTGGGTCAGTGTCTCTGGCCCTGCAGAAAAAGTAGCATTAGCAACTTCTGTCACTTGTATGTAGCAGGGTTGGGTGGCTTCTTTTAGAACCACTTGTCCAGATGACAGACACAGCTTCCTCTCTCATCCTCTTCCCCCAGGCAGGATGTGTCTGTTGTAAAGTTCTCTTAAGTTCTGCATACCGGGTAACTGCTGTAAGTTGTTGTTCTGTGACTTAATATCTCCAAGAACTTGGTATCTTACTGCTTATGCAGAAGTAAGAAGAGCTGCTTCAATGCAGTTTTTATTTTCTTGAAGCTAAGATACATTAGTAGTCAGTACCATTGCATGGGGAAAAGAATTACTGAGTTAACTGCACTGAAAACTGAAACCAAAGACTCCAGTTTGGCTGTTAAGAGCTTTTCACCACATGCCAGTGGTACAGTATATATTAGCAGTCCCTCTACAGGGTACTAACAGACAAATTCCTTCTGAGAACTTTCCAGTTGAACAGCCATTACATGGCTATGGTATGCACTCTTTTAGAGATCTAACAGCCTATTGTAAACCTGCAGTCTGAAAATGGTAGTCCTTCTCACTCTTAATCTTAGTCATCCTATACTTCTCACACTGAGAAATTAAACACTTGGCGGATTTCATTTCCCAGCTTCAGATGGCTAGTTGTATGGTTCCTGTATTGTCTGGCTGAAGTATTCTTGCAGAAAGTTTTGCACTAATTCCCTGAGTATACTTTTTGCTTTCATAGTTATGGTATTGACCCCCGCATAAGCAAGATGCATTATCTTTACAACATTATTAACACCCATGTATTACTAGAACACCCTGAGCTGTAGCTGAAGCCTTGATCCAGGTTGTTTAGACTTATCTTTATTCTTTAGGAAGGCGGGGGGAGTGTACTTACAAAAAAAAACATGAGGCTAGTGGTTAAAGCTTTTAGCACAGAACATCCGGGTTTTGATGCTACAAATGCCATGGCTTACTGGAGGTGTCATCTGAAGTGACAAACTGAGTTGAGAGGTGCTTTTCACAAATGTAGTGGGGTAAAATTTTTTTTAAGCTAAAAACCAAAGGTTTCTTTAGCTGAAGAGGTACTTCAGGCAGTTAAATACCACTTATCACAGAGTGCAGCATTAAAGACATGGGGACAACCCCATTCCAAAAGGGCTCTTGTCAGATGATGGCAAAGACACTAAGTGTAGTCTCCAAGCCAACAGGTAGACTAGCAGCAAGTCTTTAATGCTGCACTCTATGGCAAGTGGTATTTAACTGCCTGAAGTACCTCTTCAGTTGAAAACCCCTTGTTTTTAGCTTAATTTTTAGACTGTTGACTTGACTTCATAGTGCCCTAAAGGATTCACTCTTTCTATCAGTTATTCTCTGGTAATGGACTGGACATACTTACTGTGTTGGTGCTTTGGAACTGGTTGGATCTAGAAACCACACTTGCAAAATAGCAGTTAATAGCAAATAAGGATTATGCTGTTTAGTGTCCAGCTTGGGCACCTCATTAGTTTTACTCTGTCTGAAAATCAAGAATTAAAACTATTACTAGCCAAGGCAGACTGTTCCTAATATCAACTCCCAAATATCAAGCTGAAATCTCTCAGGTCATATGAAGTGCAGTTTTCTTATGATAGAAAGTATCAGTCTGTTGGTATTCCTGCGGTAAGCAGCTATAGAACTGTCTTCCCAGACTCCACAAAACTGAGTTAAGTACCTGTAAAGAAGGCTACTCTTGGAGTGCAGGAGGCTTTCTGCTGAAAGGGCTGTCCTGTTCATGAGCTCTGCAGTTCTATTCATCAGCTGCTGAGGCCTGCATGTGAAATTAAAGTCGGTTTAGGTCTTTCAGAGCACAGCTTTTGGACAGGGTACTTGATGGAAGGTAAGTCTTTAGGTACTAGGAGTTCAGTGCAACCTTGATAGCTTTCTCTGCATGATGTACCCTGGGTATAGGTATAGGAACTTCATTTGTAGAGCAATCTCTAGCTGGGAGAATGTCCCCCAGAGTAAGGACCGTCAGGTTATCTTCACTCTTTTAGAGATGAATGCTCACCTTTGTGTTCTTAAGGAGCACTGCTATACCTGAGGTGGGGCAGTCTGAGGGAACTGAGCTACAGAGGCAAAGCCCAGTAGTTTGATTGAAATAAATATTGGCTGACTCCGGGTTCATTGAAAATTTGCAGAAGTGGGGAGAGGCTGTCATTGTGGGCTTGAGTGAAAATATGTGCTGGTAATGTTTAGGAGACACCTTTTCTAAAACACAGGCAGTGATTGAGATGGCCAGATGACGTCTTGAATCCTGGTGCAGTGAGGCCCTTGTCAGCAAATGTGTGGTACCACGTTTTTTATGATATGCTGGTGTTTCCCAGGGAGGCAAGTGCAGAGGATGAACTCAGCTCTGCATAATTCAGTGCTGATACTAAAATGTTACATGAACTCTATGCTTAACACTAGCAGAAAGGCTTAATGGGTGATGTGACCCCCAGCTGTGTGCTTGGATATTACTTTTAATGCAAGTTTAAAGCAAGCACCACACTAATAGCTGATTCTTTAAAGGCATGCAGTAAGTAAGAATCTTCTTGTGAGGTCTAGTCATAGCAGGAAGCTATGTGGTGTGCAAATGGCATGGGATTGCAATTTGAGAAAGGAGGCTGATGGCAAACTCCTGAAGCTCATTCAGAAATGTGGGCCAAGGTGAAATGTTTCAACTAAAAGAATGGAGGAGGACCTGTCTTACTGCAGACAAGCTGTTTTGCTTGTACAGGGACCTGTGATTTACTTCTGTCCCCACATAACTGAAATTTGGTGTGTGAGTTTTTCCTGTTTGTTGGTTTCTTCCAACTTTCTGGAAAAAAAAAAAAGTAATATTTTTTCTAAATGAGGCCTTAGCTAGTGGAAGTATTGCATGAGCTGTGGTAAGTCTGGGAATACATGGTACAGAGCTTTTCAGAGGAGCTGCTGAAGCATTAATGCATTGATCTACAACAGAGAAGAGATTGCTTGGAGGTGCCAGAGGAGACACTTCCTTTCACATATGGGACAAGTGAAAGGGAAGGCAATGTTTTTCTCATCACTTACAGGTCAGCATTTAATGGATACTTAATGCTGTATTCAGAAGGATATTGTTAGTGGTCCACAGTGGATGGACTTGAGCATTCAAGGAGAAATAAGACACCTGCCCTTTGAATCTAGTCTGCTGATAGCTGTTAATCATCAGCTACTTCTGGTACATGTCCAACTGCAGGCTCCTAAGGGCTGAATGCAATTGCTAGAGGCAGTGGTTTTTCTGAGAAGAAATTTCAATTGACTCAGGATCAAGAAGGAGTACAAAGCAGAATTACCTGCAAAATCTCTCAGGCTTTTGTTGCATTGGAAACCTCAGTCACTTAAGGGCTATTCCACATAGTTGCTTAGATTACAAAAGGTACAGGAATGTTGTGGTTTTTCAAGCAAAAGTGAAATGGCATGCTTGCTTGCATCCCTGTGGGGACAAAAGGGAAGGTTAAGCTGTTGAAGGTGAATTTTTCAGTTTTGCCCCTGTTTTTTGAGTAAACCAATAGCAACTTGGTGCATGGAGTGCCATTCCCATTTATCATGGACTGAGGTTTGTAAGAGTAGTGATCGATATGTCTCCTATCTCTACTACCAGTGCAGGGCAACTGCACTGGTGACCTTCCCTTGGCTTAGGAGGGAAGAAGGGGAGGATGATTATTAGTAGGTAAAGGGTTTGTACATCTTTAATTAGGAAACAGATCTTGGCTAGACTGGCTGTTAGAGCTCTGAGAACTACTCTTTTAAACAGATGCTTCTGTAGGCAGCAGTGCATGAGACTAGTCCTCCTTTACTATAAAATGTCTAGTTACCTCCTTTTGTCCTGATGGGATAATTCCTTCTAGCTGTCAGAAAGGAAGACTTGAAGCATGAACTGGCCAAGTTGGCTGCAAAAGAAGTTAAAACTTAGGGGTGCCTTGGCAGTGAGTGGTGGCCAACTTCCCTCTGAGCATTTTTAATAACTTTGCATCAACTGAGTTATTACTAGTTGTTTCCTGGTGAAGACTGAAGAAGTTGCCCATTCCTGCAGATGCACAGCTGCTTACTTTTTAACGGTATATTCTTAAAAAGACTGATTTCTGTAGTTGTTTCTAAATTGTAAGATTGTAGTATAACCTTACTGGAGAAGTTGGCTTGTACATGTAATACAAGATAAGGGTAGCACCTTTTGCTGTCTATTTGGAGAATACATTGTCAATAAAATGTTTACTGCTTGTGACACTCACTGAGGTAGTTCAGTGCTTTTCATGTAAATTATGCTTTTCATAATTTTAATTTTTTTATTTAAACCAACAACTAACCCCCCCCAACTGATCTAAAAGCAAAGCTTACTTTTGTTCTAAGTTGGGAATGTAACAGCTTGCTATAAAGGACTTTAAGGAGTCTTTGTAAGTGAAAAGGGATATGTAATACCTTCTGTGGTGGCCTTCCTGTCTTTTAGCCCATGCTGTTGTCTGTGCTGCATGAGGATATGCAAAGCCTTGCACTGGTCCTTGACAGCTTTGATGCTTTTGTTTATATCCTTTTCATACTAATAATAGGCCAACTGAAGAATTGAATTTACTTAGTCAGGGTTATATTCATGGTTATATGACAGCTTATATCTTGCATTACTCCAGCTGGTCCAAGAGTTGAATTTTATCTGGCCTTGCTAGTGGCTGGAGAGTAAATGCTTTTTGTTTTCAAAAGCAACTCCCTAAATACCATGAAACAGGACAAAATAAGTATGGAAGTCTGCCTTTGGACTGAATTAGCACTTAAGCTGTATCACTTTACAGATTCTTGCTGGCTTGGGGAGGGAAGGAACAAGTGGATCCCTCTCACAGCTGTCTTTTCTCTTGCCCATAGAATGTGTTGAAGAAGAGAGACCAAGTTCAAGCAGAGTATGAAGCAAAACTGGAAGCAGTAGCCTTGAAAAAAGAAGACCGTCCAAAGGTTAGCACTTAAAACTACTCTACAAAAACAGCTTGCACTTCTATTACTTTCCAAGAAGAATGGAGAAACAGATCTTGCTTTGGGTCTGGCAGCTTCTATGCAGTATAAGTCATTTCTGGAAGGACAGAAGTTTGTTGACAAGCTGGTGTGAAATAAAGACCTAGGTATGATCATATATGATCTATCTACCAACGTCTGTACTATCGATCTCCCACCATTCAGAGCAGGATGGCTCTGACCTTTGTAGCACTTGAACAACAGCCAGCAATCAGTTGGAGTGTTCAGTGACATGGACTGAAGCAGTGGCAGAACAGTCTCTGGTGATTTAGCAATATGTCAGCTAGTTGAGTTAAGGTACTAGTGCTGTCACTGCTGAACTGTATTGTAGGACACCTGTTTTGACTGTGGAAGACTCTGTATTTTGCTCCTTCTGCTAGGGAATTCTTCTTGTGTGATGGTGAACAGACACCACATGTCACTCAGTGACAGGTTCTAGCTGGGCTACATGTGGAAGCAAAGATGTGAACTGGCATGCTTATGCTGCCACCTGCTTTCTGCGTGGGGCAGTGTGCAAGAGCCTGTCTTAAAATCACTGCAGCTTTAATCAGCATTGACAACAGGTTTTGTTCCCTTCCTCTTCTTGGGGCTTTTTGGTTCACCTTCATCTTTGTGTTAATAGCTATTGGATGACTGTCCAGTATTACAACTATTGTACAATAATCTTACAGGAGGTTCACATAATATCATTAATCTGAGAAGCTAAAGAGGACTGGAACATAGAAAGGCCAACTGGTATTTTTCTGATCTTTTGTCTGTCACAGACTCTATAAATGGTGATATCTTGGGTATCTTGTGTTGCTCTTGTATTTTGGCCTTTCGCCTACTCCACTGCTGGCTGGTGTGGTATGTACTTTTACTTCTTCAATGTACCTTTGTATAAGTAGGTATTCTAACAAGTTGTATGTAGGATGAAGGGAAATTAATCTAGTATTGCAGCAAGCCAGTTGAGATTTGTAGACATTTGACTTTATCAAGATCTTGATGCAGTAGAACTGTTGAATTTTCTAATCTTTCACCTACTGAAACTCTTTTACATCTCGCGTCTCAGTGAGATTACTGTGTAAAGCACAGCACTTAAATAGCTGTCTAAGAATTTTTGAATACTTGTCTCCTCTAGAGTATAAGCATATGTTTTGGCAACTCTTTGTATCTTTTTTCTGACATAAGTCTTTTATGTCATTTACAAGATTAAGTTGAACAAATAAAACTCCGTGCATATTCATAAAATACTAGCTTGAGGTTTTCAGATCCTTTCCACCTCGAGGGAACGTCCTTGTCTGCAAGAGCTGGTAACTCAGAGCTGTGGCTAGCAGCATATCTTACATTTAGTGAGGTCTCCTGGCGATGGCTTGCTGGAAACTATAAGCAGAAAGAGGGTTATGAGCTGGGTTATTCAGTGAAAGGCGTTTGTGTTCCTTAAACCCAACACAAACACCTTTATATGCACCCCCCCAAAAAACCCCCAAACCTTAAGGGAAAAAAGGTCTGCTCGGGGATCACAAAATGAGGGCCTGTTGTTACTTGTTAATCTTTTCCACTGGAGGGCATTCTGGGACTCCTTGTACGCATAATCAGATTAGCTTCACAAAGCTCTGTTGGTGTCATTAGGTCATTCTCACATGGAGATGATCAGCTTAGAACTCGGTGGCCTATAAATGCAAGTGGCTTGTAGGGCTACTGTAAATGTCTGCCAGCAAATACTGCTCAGAATGCTGAAGTTTACACTGAAAGCATAGTATATGTGGTGCTTAACAGTAGTGTAACAGAGTGTAGAATCTGCAGCCTTTCTGTTTCTATCAAGTACAGTAGTGAAGTGCTTCTTACCCTTTTCTGACCCATGCTGGAGCTGGTTTTGCAGTAATCCAACCAATGTAATGAAGTGCAGGCATTGTTTCCTTTTGGTGAGATGACTTCTACCTCTGACCGAATTTATTCTGTCTGCCTCAAGGCTTTGCAGTGTGGTGACCAATGGGAACAGTAAATATGGCAGTGCAGAACTTGAAGGTAACCATATGTATTTACAGGAAAAAGAAAATAAAGGCTTACTTAATAAATGCTGGATTTGTGATTTTTTCAGGACCATTTGTTCTTTGGTAATGATGCTGTAGAGGAATTTTTAAAAAGTGGATGTGCTTATGCTGCAAACGATGCCATCTGCATTTGACCATGTGAAATTCTAGATGTGAGGCATACTTAAACTCTGGACTCTTCAAGAACTATGTGAAAAGGAATTGATGTCGGTACAGAACTTCATATCACGTAGTGAGGAGACCAGACTCCTGAATATACAATTTTATGCTCAGTTCTTACCTACATATACATCTCTTCTCAGTTTCAGTTGACTTACTAAAGTAGTGATGGGCCCTTCTGGAGCATATTGGGAGTTTGAACCAGTTGTCACTTGGTTTTGGGCTTTGTGGTTTTTTGAGCTATACAAGTAGCTGAGAGCAGCCATCCGGTAGGAAAGTAGCAACTTCCCCCAAAGTCCAGTCTTCTTTCTTCTCAGTTCCTAGTTGCTAGCTAATATTTAGTATCTCCATTAATAAAAGCAGATAAAGGCATAGCAATGATGTTTCAACTTATGCCCAAATTTTATGTTAGAACGATAATCTCTCTTGTCGTTAACCTTGCACTAAAGTGCTTAAAAGCTGTTAATTAACTTAAAATTTTGTTATAGCTCTGAGTTGCAACTTCTGTTCTGAGAAGCTGCAGTTTTGGAAGGAAAGGTATTTACGTTCCTGAATAGGACTGGTGTGTGTGTGTACAGACACTGCTTTCATGATGCCTGTGGAGACTTAGCTGGAGTTCATTGCTGCTGTTCCTTAATTAAAGCGTACATGATCCGTTTGCTAACCACTGGGTTGTCTGTGTAGCTCTAAACTTGTGCAGCCCTCTCAACCCGACTTACAGAAGAAATGGCTGTGAGAAAAAACAGATTTTTTTTTTTTTTTTTTTTTTTTTTTTAAATAGCTTTGTTGTGGTTTCAGATCCTGGCAGAAGCAGCAGGAAGCTGGTGAGTGCTTAAAACCTAACTTAATTGGATTGGGAAATCGTATGTGGTTTTGCTTCCAGACTTCATGACTCTTTCTCTTGATAGACTAGCCTTTCCTGTTAAGACAGTAGAGTACTTATGATGCAGGGCATACTTGCCTTGGGGGGATCATCTTCTAAACCTTTCAGCCACCTACTTGGCATTTGAAGTTCTCCCATAGGCTTCAGGCAACATGTCTGGGCTTGTAGCAGAGTGGATTCTGTAGCCAGAAGTATAGTGCTTAGAGACCGTGGGGGAAGTATGTAGCTACAAAACCCCCAAGCTGCATGTAGTGCAAATCTAGTTGTGTGAATAAAAGGGTACTCAGATCCCATGACATAAAGGAGGTGCTGCCTGTGTCTCAAACAGCTTTATTGGAGAACAGATGTAGGATCTTCTTTGAGTTGATGTAATACTTCAGTGATCGGCCCTAATCCACATCCTGGAGAAGAACCAGAATGGATATGTTTCTGCCTAAATTGTGTACCTTGTCATATTTCAAGGTAGTAACACACCTCTAACTTCCTATATTGCTACCCATTAAAAGCTTCTTAAATAGTCTGTTCATCCTCTTCCTTCCTTCATGCCCCTCAAAGAAAAGGGGAATTTCCTGAAAGTATCAAGTGTGAAACATCTGCAGATGTTCTTCATTCTGCCTTTTGCCGTTGTGCAAGTCACAGCTTCCAGAGTGGAAATTCATTTCTCAAGTTAGTGCTAGAGCTCAGAGGCTTCCTCTTCTGAGATCTTGGGCTTAGTCTGCATGTACTTGTAGTCATCCTGTATGAGTGGACTATGCAGCACAAGGAGAAGGGAGAAAAAGGTATTCATGGCTTTCCTGCTTGAAGAAACATTTGTAAATTGTTCCTGTAGTTGCCTGGTGATATACATGATGTGAGTTAAAACATAAGCAATTTAGGCTTAAAGTCCATCTACCTTGGGCTGGTGACTACTGTCATAATCCATTTAAATCTCTACCTAGACTTGCAATATGCTGTCCTTCAGGATTTCTCCCATTGCTTCTTTGTGATTGTGTCCAGTGTTGAGCCCAAAAGCTCATGAGCCAGTCCGTGGTGATGATCATCAGTGCATTGCACGTATATTTTGTTTCGGGCAGCCTGTAAGGTTAAAAGTGGAAGTTAGAAACCAGAGGCTTGGAAATTTTATTCTGCAGCCATAGCTGATCAGTGTGGTTTGTGTATTATAGTCGAGAGATAACACTGAGGTCTCTTATCCAGCTCTTCAGAGAAACCTAGATGTTTGTTGTTTCATACACACTAGTGTAAATCAGGAAAAGCTTCATGCAACTGTAAATGGGAAGATCAAGAGAAAGCTTGCTCTAGAGCTGTAGTCAAGCTGCTCAGTTTGAGAACTAGGAACTGAGCCTGAGCATCCAGCACTTAGATCGCATGGCTTTCCTTTTCATGTGCGTCTAGTGAGCTCTTCCTCAATCTGCGTCCATACCTGGTGTGTAGATGGACAAGCACAACTGCTCATCACCTCAAACAGCAGAGAACAAATTAAGCAATCCCATCTCCTCAGTAATACAGGATTGGTGATTTACTCCCTGCAGCCATAACTGAATTTATTCAGGGTAACTACTGGACTGTTAACATACCCTTTTCTCTGTAGCTTTTCTCAGTGATGTTTGAGCTAGTTTAGTAGTCTGGCACTCTCAGTGACAGTTTCAATCTTCATTTCTTTTGCTGCAGGTACCCACAGATGTTGAGAAATGCCAAGATCGAGTAGAGTGTTTCAATGCTGACCTGAAAGCAGATATGGAGAGATGGCAGAACAACAAAAGACAAGACTTTAGGCAGCTACTCATGGGGATGGCAGATAAAAACATCCAGTACTACGAGAAGGTATGTGGCACAGCTGGAGCATTGGAGTGGATAAGAGTAGTTCATTTTTCTGAGGTGGTGATAATTCTTCAGGAAATCTTCATGCTGTCTTGAAGAAAAGAATCTTAGACATCTAAATCAGTTCTCTAGTGCTGTGGAAGTTGCTCTTTGTCAGCAGTTCAGTGTAGTCTCTTGAGTTGCTGGTCATGCTCAAATGATCTGCATGAGACTAGCAGTTTTTGCAAGGCAGCCCTGCAACAGCATTTCATCCTGGATGCTTGTCTGTCTTGCAATCTTGAATTGAACAAATTACTGAGCAGCAGTAGCAGAAAAAGACCAAAACTGCATATTAGAGGAATACTACCAGAAAATATCTTCATTCTGCCTTTTATGAACCAAACTACATGAGTTAATGTACATCCATGGATTGATATATAGATTATGCGTGGTATGTATAAATTATTCTAATCTCTGTCCCCTTGTGCAGAGTTCTGTCCCGTGTATGTACTAGTCCTAGAAACACCTAGTCAGGTGCCTCTACCCTTTTACAGTTGTTGCATGTGGACCTGAGATTCAATGTCAGATTTTTTTTTTTAAGTGAAAAGGCCTTGACATTTAACTGCATATGCTGCCAATCTAGTTTACCTCATGCTAGGACAGTGCTGCCTGATGCAGTGGTTGATAGATTAAATACTACTAGGTTTATGTATACTGACATACTTAATCTTCTTGCCTATTGCTTTTTTCCACATCTATGTTAGAAACTTGTCCTGTGCTGGGTTACCTCTCTGTATAATATTGATATGCACTTCCTTTACCCCTTCCAATGTCTGTCTTGTCGGTAATTCATAGCTAGTCACACAACTTCCTTCACCCTTGTCTCTTCTTTCTTCTGAGACTGCTGTGATGGGGTTATTACAGACTCCACTGAACATCCAGCAGTATCTCTGCAATTGACAGTTAAATCTGTACATCTCAGTTTTGCTTTTAGCTGCATCAAGGAAGCTTTTTGGTAGGAAAGTGTTAAATTGCTTCAGGATACACAACTAGAAATACTTTGTTCACCTGCAGTACAATCAGCAAGAGTAGAAGGAAGGTGTTTGACAACAGTAACTTGTAGATATAAGAGCCAGTGAAGAGTTTGCCCATTCTCAGTGTTTAATAGTATGTATTCCATGATCTATATTTGTCCAGTTTGACTTCTGGATTGTACGTTGTTGAAAGACAGCAATGATACCCAGCAGAGGGACTGGAGTAAGTATATGTGTCTGAGGAGATAACTCCAAATCTTGCAGTGATTTTCTAATAACCCAGAAGCTAGACTCCACTTTTATGTTACTATACCAGGCACTACCAGTTCATCGTGAAGTGGAGTCAAGTCCCAGAGGTGTACTGGAGTACACTGTGTCTCTGAGCTACATTTCCTAAATGCATGGGTCTTCTAAATAAGTTCGCTGGAGGTACTCTATAATAACTGCCATTGTGTCCAAATCAGCCCTCTCCTACTGTCACACCACAAAGATGTGAATTTCTACTAGTAACAGTTTGTACACCAAGCTGAAAGCTGTGGTGTTCTTCAGTTTAGAAGAATCCAGCTTGATTTTTGGAAATCCTAGGTATTGTGATGATTTTTAATGGCTTGGGCCTGCTGATGACTTTGGAAAGCTTTGATTTGTTTTCTCTGTTTGGAAACTGCAGCTATTCCTTCTGAACACTTTCTTGCTGTTTGTCATTCTGGGGGTTTTTTTCCCCCCTTTTAAATAACCTATAAAGTCCCAGCTAGCCTTTCTTGAACTTGCATTCTGTTGGTCTGGAAGGGTTGGCCAGAAGTTACAAGAGCTGGTGTACAATCCATTTTAAAAATCTTTATTTCTTTCTTTAGTGCCTTACGGCGTGGGAGTCAATTATACCACTATTGCGAGACAAGCCAGAGACCAAATAAGAAGTACCTTCATGGACAGTCTAGCACTTCTGTATGCAGTACCACTAGACATACTGGAACTGTATGAAGGACTCCTTTTTTTCAAGTTAACTGAAATTCCAGCAGCACTGAAGCTGGAACAGACTCTCTGAAAACTATTTGAATTTTTTTTCTCACTTTCTGTGTTTAAACTGGGGTATGTTTCATCTTTTTGAGTTATCTTGAATGGTTCCTTCTTTATCCTATGGAGTGATTGGGGGTTCATAGTGAAAGTGCACGGGGATCTTGATAAAACTTACCTCTCTAGTCTGGAAGGAACTGATGAGTGGAAGACTAAAAAGATGAAAATAAAACTCTACTGCAAGGTGCCAAATGACATCTTTATTACCATACTGTTTTGTTTGCTAAAAAAAAAAAAAAATAAGGATTCCTATGATACAGTACTTCCTAACCAATTCTTAGCCCTTTTTTTGGATGGACAGGGAAACGCTGGAATGAGTGTTTTCTGTTTTGCTACTGCCCATATGTTCCCTCTGGTTAAAATGGTTTCTGGAGACTTTTCTGTGTGGGAGTTGGGCTGGTGCTAAACAGAACATACCAACACCAACTGTGATGCAAGCATGAACTGTGGTTTTTGTGAGTGTGGCATGCTGTTGGTTCGTACTGAGTATCTTTGTTTACCTTGGTGATTATGAAGTAATGTCAGTTGGCTGAAGTGTACTTGTGACTGCCTTGGGGATCAAAATCAGCCTAGCTGTGGGACTGAATTGAACAGTGGCCTTTCAAGGCTTATGGGAATGGTGGAAGCAAGTATGAGTCTTTAGTGTATTTTTTCTAAAACTAGCTCTGGAGGTTGCATGGTAGAATTCTCTTGGTCCATGTTTTAAACATTTTTTTTTTTCTGAACTAGAGCCACTTTGGCCTTGGTCACTTAAGGTGCCTGTTGTAGTAAAGATAGAACGCTGCTTTCCCTTCTCATGTTTTTTTGCAGCAGCCAAAAGCCAAAAAGTGTCAAATGCTTGCTTATACCAAGCATCATTGTGTGTGAAACTTGCCTTAAACAGGTTGGTGGGGGTAGATGGGTACCCTTTTAGGTATACACAGTGTTCATACCTGTCACTACTGAACCACATGGCAAGTCTTTTAAGACTACTTTTGGTACAGATCTATTTTCTTAGTAGTTTTTATTGGCCTTTAGAAATGTAACTGCTTCTGCAAGTCCTGTTTCTTCCCTTTCTCTTGCAGTCCAACCTCAAGTAAATGCCTGCTTGGTGTTAATGGCCTTAGGAATGCTGCTGTGATTCCAGGGGTCCAAGAGTCTTGGTTTAACAGCATGCAGAGAAGTTCTTAACCATCCTAAGTGAGGTAGTTTGGGGTTAATATCAGGGTAATATTGGGATTTAGGGGAATAAATAACTGCACACTTACTGCTAAACTTAAGTGATTACTTGATCTCTGGCAACATTCTTGCAAAGAATCTGAGCAGTAATTGAGTATGTGCAACTTCTGTATTCCCCTATGATGATCTGCCAGGTACCCGTCTGGTTTGGGCTTTATCCCTTCATAAACACCAAGTATACCCAAATCCCCTCTACTCAGCATGGTGGCTTTATAGCACCCACCAAGGTGAGTTACTGCAGCAATATGGTAGTTGTCAGACTAATGAGACAATACTCTCTTGGTGCAAAAGTCAAGTTTAAAACATTTTAAGAGGTCTTCCTTTTTGACTCAGCCTTCATTGGCAACTCTGTGGTACTGAACAAACTGCTTTTTGGTTTAAGCTCATGGTTTGGCAATATACGCTTACTTGGTGTAAATAAGAACTCTGCTCTAAGTTGCTGTTAGGTCCAGAATGATGAACTACTCTTGTTGCACAAGGGAAGATCTTAAGGAGATCATCTTGAAGCAGTAACCAAGTGTTCTCCTCAGTCTTTCCCATATAAAAAAGCACTTGCATACCATTTAACAGTCTGGCCTTCAGGGTTACAGTCTTCCTATTTCCCACAAACAGACATCAACATGCTTTTTTGAGCTGGTTCCTGTGTGGTAAATGTAACTGCAGCATCACTGAGAGTCAAGCAAAATATAATTTCAACTAATATTTAAACAGTCTTCCCTTCACCTTGTCAAAAAAAAAGTGAAAGATGAGTAGAAGGGGTGGTGGGTTTTCTCCTGCAGGAGTAGGTTTTGTCTGATGCCTTACAACACTGAGGTCCTGTTCCTTCTTAGTTTGATGGCAAACTGAAATGAATGTTTGGTTCTGGGGAATTTAGCAATTTATATCACAGTTGTTCATGAGAAGCATAATGGACAGTGGGGAGTAGCAAGTGGAGTTCAAATCAACATGTAACTGTTGAGGCTGGAGCTGTTGAAGATCAGTTTAAATACTCTTATATCTGTTGCCACTGATTCTGCAGCATGGTTTTTAAATTAGTCCTCATCCAAAGGATGTTTTGGTTTCAGATAAATCCCTTTGTGACTAGGCTGTTGAAAGGCAGTCATGCTTTGCACTTCCCTGTTGGAGTATATAGCTCTGTGGCACCTGGAAGTTGATTTGGGGGAGAGTTTGGAATGTGCCTCAGTCTATGGCCCCTGACAGGATTTCTTTCATGATCTAGAACACCAAAACCTCTTAAGCCCCTACAAGGGACATAAAACTTAACATCTAGAAGAGGAGTCCTCTGCAAGGATTGCTGCAGTGTAAGAAGGATGTGTAGTGGTGAGTCTCTCAGCTCCTATGGGTTGTGGAGGAGTCTCTGAAAAGAGCTGTCATAAATTGCTAGGTAACCGTGAGAGAGACTGTGAGGTGTGGGGAGGATCCTGACTGTGAGGTTTGGGGCAACAGTGTGGAACAGGAGAACTATGAAATAGAGGGGAAACTCCTCTAAAATATAAAGTGACACTTGTAGAGTTCACTTACTTAACTGCTGTTAGTGGGAGGTTGAGATCTGAACTTAGTGAAACTCTGACATGTTATCCTGTAGTCCTCACAGGTCTCCTTTGGATGGCCCAAACCTTAAGTGTGAAAAGGAAAAGGTGTTGGTGAAGGGAAACAGGAGTAGTGCAGGAGCCTCATTGTTGAGTAACTTGAGTGTTCAGTCACCTAACCACCCTCATAACATGCGCTAAAATGATGTCAAAAGTAGTTGTACCCTTTCTGTGAGCCTCTAACATGTGGGTCCTTCAACAGTCTTTAAATTAGCCCAGTTTTCCTCATAATCCATAGCCAGACCAAGTTCCCTCTCAGAGGATGCATAATTCACTGCTGTCCTAGTTACTTCTGTGTAATTTCTGGGATGTTTTTTTCTTCTCTTAACTGGCACCAGCACAATAAAGCAAGCACTGAGATCTAGTCTTCATGCTCGGTAATGAGCCGTGCATTGTTCACATGTATCTTTACCAGGTTGTGACTCTTGCAATAAATATAGATGTTGAAACAACATGGCTTTTTCAGGTATCCACGGGAAAATGTAAAGCTAATAGGCGTAGTCCTAAAGACACGAACTCTTCTGATGTGAGTTGTATCAAAAAATAAACTATGGACTCTTCACTGAAGTCTACTTGGATTTTTGTCACACTGACACTTGTGCTAAGGATATAGTGGGATAAGTGGTAGGAAGAAAAATCTGCAAAACAGGAGTGGCAGAGACAGACCTGCAGAGGTACTGCGAGGTAGTCTTGCAGCAGTGGCTCTGTATAGCCTGTTCGTGATGTGCGTTGCTTCAGGTGTCAGTCCTGCAGATGCCAAGGTACAAAAGAATTCCCTCCCAGCCCACCAGAGACTGTTCAGTGTTTAACAGGAGCCATGCTCGTGTTAAAACTTGCACAATGTAACTGAATATGATTATGATTAATGTTACAGACTGTTTAAAATGTTGGTGTTGATAACCACTGAGCAAAATTGCATAGACTAAACTAGCTCATTAGATGTTCAGCATTTTTATATTCTGAAGGTAGAACAGTCTTTCCCTTGGTAGGTTAACTTTTGCTACAACAACCAATAAATAGGGAAAATGGGGGCTTTTTTTAAGATGGGAGAGTTGCTACTACTTGCCAGATTTTTTTGATTTTTTTTTTTTTTTTTTAAAAGTACAACTGGGGATCACAGAATAAACTTGCCTTCTGGCAGTGTGAATGTTGCATTTTAAACTTTTTTGAGAGTGCTGTTTAACCAATTTTGTGGTATAAAATGGCAATGCTTAATTCAACGCTTAGCACTTTGGAGTCTTGCCGAGGTATCTGACTTGTACAAGTACTCAGTAATGCACTGGGCTAGTTTGAAGGTTACATGGCTAAGACACAGTACTTGTGCAGAAAATAATGCACTTTCCAAAAAGGCGTAAGTAGATCACCCTTATGTAAGTGTCATGCAAAAATGTTAAAGGCTAGTCACTGTCCTAGACTACTTTGAAGGCCTTGGTACTTTAAGCTTTGAAGCTAAACCATTTCCTTAACTCTGCTGGTGGGCTATGTATCTGTACCTTCAGATCAGCAGCGTTGGGGCCAGTGCCACATTCCTACCACACAGGGAGACAGACTGTAGAGGGACAGTCTTACCATAGCAAACAGCCAAAGGGCTTTTGTCATTAATATATGAAAATAAAGCAGTACTATCCTTGTTCCCTTTTCCTCTGTGCCTGCATCCCTGTGTCCCTCCTTAAGGTTTTGAGAGTTGGGCCGTGCAGATGAAGGCAGGCTGGCTGTGAGCGAAGGTGGATCTCATCCCCCTTCTTGCTGGAGGTGTCAGTATTGGGGACCAAATGGTGCTGGCTCGTTGCCCAGACTCTTCCACTTTCTGCCTGTAAACCCACTCACTGGAACTAGAGTCATCATTCATACCATTAAAAAACAAAATGAAAGCTGTGAAAAGACTTGTCTCTGTGTGAATTAGCGAGTAATCATGTAAAAATGGGAAGGAAGCTTTTGTTTCCTACACTTGATCAAATCTGGCAACTGTGCTCTTGTTCATACTCACAGGCTAGGAAATGTTGTCTTGCCTTCTGGTGCTGGCATGTTTCTATACACTTCCATATATCTGTATAAATATACTTTGTGCATTGTTTACTATGGAACTAGTATTGATGGAGAAAAACACTTTGAGGTAAAAATGTTTGTAATTCTCTATTAGTGTGTACATTTTTTTAAAATGCACCGTTTGTTTACCTCAATTAATTTAATGGAATGGACCAATAAATGTATTAAAAGATGACTCCTTTACCTAGAGTATAAAGTTTTGTTTTTTGCAGCCTTCGCCATTGAAATGATGTGTGCACTTATTTTGATGGGCAGCTTGCTATCTTACTGCAGAAATACCCATCCCTTAAAATCTTGTTCCACTGCTGATTTAACTAAAAGTCATCTGTCTGTTGCTGTAATACATCTGGTATTACTTGAAACTGAAGCCTGGAGCTGAGGAAAGCGCGCAAGAGTGTGTGTGTGGGGGAGCGTGCTTGGCAGCAGCTTCCTCAGAATAAGAGGTTGCATAGTGAGTAATCAGCTTCTGCTTGCGGCATCCCTGGCTCAAACTGAAGCTGCCTGTTTTGCCTTCAGATTATTTCAGTTACTGAAGGGCTTTTAACTTGCCTTTACTTAGTCCAGGAGTTTGGAAGCCACTTAATCCTTGTTAATTCGATTAGCATGTAAACAGACATATAGTCTAAGCACTGCTCCTTCTGGAACATGCCAGTCGTTTGAATCATGTTTGGATTTAGCTGACAACATCTCATGTCAGTATTGTATGAGGTTCCTTTCAGTAGGGGTATTAACTCAGTATAATGCTGGGGTAACAAGGTAACTATTACCTGACATCAGTGTTGCTACACCTCTGTACAGCCTGTGGGAATAGTGTGCTCCGCTTATCTGTTCCTAACCTCTTACAAGAGTAGTACATCCTGGTGATGTGAACTGAAATGCAAGTATTGGCTCTTGAGTCACAGGTGTCCTTCCATAAACTCTGTTAAAGCATTGTCCAGGGACAGTAGAACAATCTCCCAGAAATCAGGGGCATGAACACATGTTCAGGAGTGGTTTATTGTAGGGATTACTAAAAGTGTCTTAATCTTACATATTTTTGTATGGTGGTATTTCTGTATTTAATGGTCTTCTATGTGTTGATGAGCTGAGCTGACACATCTTCTGTGAGAAGACAAGAAGGAACTAGTGGAAAACTCATCTTCTGCTTTTCCCTTCCACACTGAATGATGTATCTAGAAATGCGGTTTCCATTTCTACCCTGTTCTTGTCTCTGCACTCTTGCTAGCCAGCCTACCAGGTTCCTGTAAGACTGCTGAAGACTGCTGGTGTGCGATAGCCAATGCATGTACTCTGCAAGATGATGCACTGCAGAAATAGCAAGGCAAACTTCTTTGTCCTAGGTGAGCTCGGTGCCTGAGAGGCCGTGTCATGCTGTGAAATAGAAATACAGATGAGATGCTTCCTGTAACAACAACTGCGAGGACTAATGCTTGGCAAACCTTCCACTGCGGTTGCTCAGAGAGTTGATGAAGACAAAGAGATGCTTTAGCTGGTACAGCCTGTCACTCGGTCAGAATCTGAAGGGAGCCAGTGGTTGAACGTTGTTTGATGGCCACGATGCTGTAAAGAGCAGTAAAAATGCAGGTTACAAGAGAGCTGCAAACATCTTTCTCAGACTACAGTGTGCTTTTCCCCATCAATTCTTTAGATTAAACTTTGCTGGGAGGTCTGGAGCTGACTAAGTGCTCATGTGATTCCTCTTGAGGATCTGCCAGCCTCTCTGTACGTTATTCTTGTGTACAAGCAATGCCATTGTCACCATTTGTAATCTTTCAGACTTTTGAGTCCTAATAACCCATGTTTATGCTCATAAGGGTGCTAATTTCTATCTGGAGCCTGTGTTAAAAAGCAGCTGAATAGCTAGCAGTGACTTGCTGTTACACAGCAGGGTTGTGCATAAGAAACGAGTCACTCTTGTGTCTGGAAAATACGAGGAAAGCAGAGCCAGTGGACTGGTAAGTATGAAGCAGCCTTTCCCACACCTGTGGTCCTGCTGACAGCAGTTGTCATGTGTGTTGACAAGCCCAGAGAAAGCCTTCAGTGCTCTGGATGAGGCACAGCTGATGGTGTAGGAGCTTTCCTTAGTGTATCTTTTTCTTCCTGTCTAAGTGATAACAGTGAAGTCGGTATAAATAGTGCCTTTAAACTTTCTACTCTTACTTTGTTAAAAAATTACAGCAAAACTGGGCAAGAATTTTGCCTGGGATCAGACATAAGCCTGTCTAGTACCTGTCTTATATCTGAATGAAAATGTTTTTGTTGCATGGCTTAAATACTGCCGTTGCCACAATTCACTTTAACTTCATACAGGAAGAGTCTGTTTCTAGTAATGCAACAAGCTGGAGGGTCTTGGGGACGGGACAGAGGGCAAGATGAGATTTGGAGGGAGATCCTTCAAAAATTCTGTAAGAGTACATGGACAGGATATGTCAGGTTTCTCTGTTCAAATTAAGCTGGTTTTATGTTTAAAACTTGTTCTTGAAATTGTACCTCTCAGTTGCTCTGTAGCTGTACAGTTGGGTCGGTTCACTGGGTTAGAAAAGTAACCGTTCCCTTCAGTATGTGGTAATGGTTTCTCTTTGAAAGAAACACCCGAGGGAGATTCAGATTATTCATTTCTGTCACAATGAGTAAGTCACCTGTAATGGATTCTTTTTTAAAAATGTTTTACCTTGCGTAGGATTGTTGCCTTACTCTACTTACTACTATTTTCACAATATCAAGCACTACATTTATGTGAAGGCTTTCATCCCCTGGGAATTATCAGCTCAAAATCTGTCAAATATTCCTCCTACAACAATTTATGTTACATTAAACAAAAAGAAGATTAAAAAGAGAGGCTAGATCATTTGCAAGTTTCATTATTTGGATCTCCTTGGTATTTGTCAACAAATTTCTGCAAGATTTCTGTTTCTCTTCCTTTTTTTTTTTTTTCCTTTTTTTAAAATTCAAAAGAAGTTTTCTTTTTTCGTCTGTAATATATACACTTCAGGAAGGATGGAGAAAATACAGCATGTCCATTTGGACAAAACCCTTCTGATTCCTTACCTTAAAGGGAGGAGACTCAGGCAGCCCACTAGAAAAGACAAAATGAAGCAGAAGCCGCTGTACCAGTCCAGTGTGTTTTGATAGATCTTGTTGTAGACTGTAGATGTCACTACTCCCGTGGTGACTAAAGACAACTGCAGCAGGACAAACACCTTACCTGTAAAACAAGAACATAGTTTGTTACTAAGGAGAAAAAAAAGCCCTGGTACCTTCCCTGACAAATCCCGGATCACTGCTGTGCGGAAGAGCAATGTAGTCATTGCTTCACCAGCACCAGGTAGCATAAGCTTGTATCTGCTTCTGTTCTAGACTAGAATTAGATGACTTCCTTCTTTTAGGCACAGGGCAAAAGATCCAAATAGAAAACTGTCTGCTTCAAAAGTCTAGATGTAGTTAGCTGCTTGGAAGAGCAGCAAAAAACTGAGCGATAAGTGCTTTCCCTGGGAAGTAGAAAAGTAGTCTTGGACTAATATCTAGAGGACAGGAGAGATTTTAGCCAGGGTCTGCTTCTGCCCTAGGCCAGAAGAGTCATCCTCCACTGGGTTAAAATGATAATAATGCCTGACATGGGGAGGTGCATGTGATTTGTATGATGTTTAGGGCAGAGGAAAGGCAGAAACTGAATCCTAGTTGGAACATCTTTTTTGTTGAAGCGCAGCCTTCAGTTTCTGTCATTGTAAATGGGGCAAGGGGAAGTAACCCAGCCCTGCCAGGATGTGAAAACTGAGCGCAAGGTCAGGGCTTTGTGCTGAGCTTGCTGCCCTGGCAGACTTCTCTGGCCGCGCAGCAGAGACAGCACTGCTGGCAGGAGACACGGGTTGCTCTGCTGCATCTGGTCCTGTTCGAGAGCTGTCTGCTGCTGTAATCAGGTGCTGCCTGCATGGCTCATGGTGGAGGGTAAAACAACATTATGATTAATGATAATGATTAATTTGGGGTGTGAGCTGCGCTGTTTGTGGTAGGTAGGTGAGTTTGCTGCAGAGTGCATTGAGGAGCACAAGTAGCAGGAGTGAACTGGCGACAGCAGTATTGTGTTCACATGGCAGAAGGGGAAAGGATGCAAAGGACAGCTGTAAGAACATGTTTGGAGGAGGCACGAGCAGTTGTGGGCATGAGGTGCTATATGAATGCATGGTCAGTCTTGTCTGTTGTGTCTAAACCCAGCTAATAGGGGTAAACATGGTAGCCTTCCATATGGTGTTGTAAAATACATATATTTTTCTAATACATTTTTTAACAGCAAAGAATTTTTGTTCCTGTTTGCCAAAAAGGGCCAATTCTTATGCAAAGGTTATCCCTTGTTAGTTAAATCATGGCCTGACAGTAACTAATTGCCACATAGCACTTGGAGATACGTTTAGAGAGCATAACTGAAAAAACGTGAAGGAAATCTATCCTTCCCAAAAATGGAAGTGAAAGAAGCCAAATATAAATGGTGTGAATATCACAGTGCTTCAACCCAACGTCTTGCTTCTCTTGGTTTTCCCTGGAGTACTGTGTTTTTGAGCAGCACCTCAGATATTTTCACTGCCTTTGAGCTGCAGACTGATAGTAATCTCTTGAAGCATGTGCTGAAAATTTTGTGGAAAAAATGATGATGCAACCGCGGACAAGATGTTTGGATGTGACATTCTCGTCCAGCAAGTTTCTCTGCCACTCCCTTCTCATCTGTGGTACCAACTGTTCTGGTTTTATTGCGCAAAGCACAGATTGCAACAATAACTTAGCTTTCTCTTTGTACCTTAGGGTGGATGGAGGGATTTGAGTTTTTTCTTTTTATCAGTAAGGTAACCAAAGTACTTACCATAGGATGATCCTTCAACATGCTTGGATAACATGGACCTGATAGTTGGTAAGGGGATGAGGGCAAAGAGCATCACTGCCCGTGCTGCAATGCAATGAATATGTAGTTATTATCAGTACCTGCTCCTTTTCTCCCAACACAACCACCACTACTTTTGAAGACTCTGTGCTTCTGGCTTAGCCAGGGCCTTTGCTTCACCTTTTCTTATCCCTCGAGTACCAGAAATAAGTACAAATCTTTGGTAGGAGTGTAGGTCCTCATTTAATCCAAGCGATGGTGGATAAACCACCTATTTCTCCCACTAGCAGAGGTACTGTTCCCAAACCAGCCACGGTCTCATGGTCTCAGCCCAAAATCCCAGCGCAGATGGAATATAACATTGTCCTTTGAGATAGTGAGGCTGATGATTTGAGGCTAACCAGGACAGAGAACAGCCCATGCTATGCGGCCTTACAGAAACGGTACCTTTATAATGCTGCAGCTGTTTTCTGTCTTGGTGTTTCTGGCTTGCAGTATTTTATGCTTTCTCTAGTGTGGAAACATTTAGGAAGCTGGAATTGTGTTCCTGTCAGCAGAACCAACCTCAGTGAAGTGTTAGTCCATGTCTAGCATACTGAGGTGTTTCTGCAATGCAAGGAACAAGCATCCTGCACACTGTGTAGCAGCATGATGGACTTAATATTAAACAAGCATTTTTTTGTTTTAATTTTTTATCTTTTGTTCCCCAGCCTGATTGCCTAAACAAACAAAATCTCTCAAAAACTTCACTCATCTGGCTTACTACACAGTTACAATATCCCACCATCTTTCCCTTTAGAATAACTCTGATTTTCAATTTCTCATTCCCTGTAAGGGCAGACAGAAAAATCGCTTCAGGCCATTTCTCTTAGATCTTTTTCTTACTTTCAGGAGCAAAACTGCAAAGCCATGCAGCACACAATACTCAGTTTGTCAGATATGAATCATCCATCTCACTGCCACAGCGGAAGCAGTTCTTAGGTTTTGTTTTCTGTGTTTCTGCAAAGACTACCTCCCAACAATAAACATGCTTTTCCCTTGTTGTGGAATGCTCCCCATCTATTGTTACCTGTCCTTTGATCATTTATACATAGTGTAAGATTTGTACACTATATTATTGTGATATTTTAGTTGCTCAAGCAGCTCCAGTGTTTCACTATTAAGTTTCCCATCAGCCATAAATGCCTTAATGTAACAAAAATAAATCACGTCCTAAGATGTTCGCTTAATAGGAAACCTTTGCCAGTTTGTTTCTGTTGTAGCCTTAAGTCTTACCTCACAAGAAGCAAGTGCTTCCCGTTAACACAGTGGTGTGGTATGACTAGTACAGAAAGCCAGCAACAATTCCCACACTGCCACAGTGTGAGCATTGTTCCCCTGCTCAGATCTGGCCTATGGCCATGTGACAAATTGCAAGTCAATGTGCTTTAAACTGAGCCTTAGCAGGACTGTATGCCTCTTCTGGATATTGTAGGGTGCTGAGTGTAAGTACAAAGGGAGAGTGGAGAGAGGAGATGATAGTGAAGCTCTCTTGAGAATTGCTTGTGTGACAGTCTGCCAACCCCCTGTTCTGAAACTTGCGATGAAGCAGAGCACAAGCCCTTCTCCTGATGCCAAACCACCCCAGCCCCTTTCTCAGGGTGCACCTGCTTGTGCGAGCAGCCGTTAGACTCACCGATGTAGAACAAGAATGTCCACTGCACGAAAGCCATAATGAGGATGCCAGCGCTGAAGGATGTCACTCCGATCATTATCATGGTAATGTCCCTCAGATATTTGGAGAACACAAATACCCCTAGGAAACTGGTGATGAAGATCACATACCCAGCAGCATTGCCGTGGCCTATCTCCACAGCATTCCAACTTAAAGGCTCCCTGAGCAAGAAGAGCGGGAGTATGTTCATTGCACCAACCACAGCAAGGTCGTAGAGGATTGCTGCCACAAACAGCATGGTGATGATGAGTTTTGAGGGGGATACTGGAGTGGAGTTGCTGCTCCTTGAAGGTTGGGAACTCCCTGCTGCTGCTGCTCCTGTGTGGGCTGGTAGCTGGTTGTCCATGTCCTTTACACTCTTGTCTTTTGCTGGGCAGGAAGCTGCTGACTTGGGGACTGTCAGGACAAAAATGCTGTAGAGGAGGCAGAAAGCATAGCAAGCGATGCTGCAGCCCACCAGCACAGTGCCCTCCCGATAGCGGTCACTGAAGCCGACAAAGAGGTAGCCAGATGCCATGCTTCCCAGAAAGCCAGCGAGGCCATACACCAGCTCAATAATGATGAGCCGCAGAGACCTCTTGCTCTCAGAGGACCCCAGGGATCCCAGAGCCATGAAGCCTGCCCAGAGTGTGGTGAAACCACCCATCACCCCGTTGAAGGCGGCAGCCCCGTACATCACCTCGATCGGCCAGCCCAGCAGGATCAGGAGGAGCAAGAGAGTTTTGGAACCCAAGTAGCCAAGAAGAGGGAAGCAGATGGGGATCTTCCGATGTACCATGTCTCCCAGCTTGGACAAGCCATAGGCTGACACCAGTGGGCTCAGGCCCAGGACTAGATTGTAGATGATATAAAAATTAGAGACAGCCTTCTGCTGAGCATCTTCCAGTGCATGGGAAGGAATGGTGTCATTGGTCTGGTTGTAGTAGTTCTTCACCACCAGTATCAGTGCTGTGTCATAGAAGGCACTGGCCACTTGGGAACCTGCGACCACTGGTTCAATCCATGTCCTCATCACTGTTACCCCCACCATGCTGCTGGTGAGCGCCTCTTCTTGGGGAGAGCTGTCTTCAGGGAGATGTGCAGGAGGAAACAGGTCTTCAGAAGCTCTGCTCTGGCGGCATGCTTAGAGTGGAGAAGTGGAGGAAAAAACAAAAGGTCTGTGGGGCTGCACAGAATCGGAGAGTTGTGCAAGAGATGATCTGGCTGGGAGGATATTTGTACCTCGCCTTGCCACGTATACGCACACATGCACATCCCTGTGCTGCTCTGATCGCTGGCTCATACACCGGAGGCTTTTGTACAGGCGAACGCCCTGCACTCGCTGACTGCCACTGCTCCTCTTCCTGGTGTAGTTTCAACAGAGGTCAGATGACCCAGGGGAATTTCTCTGTCCCAGTTTAGGAAGTTAAAATGCCCCGATCAAGTAATAGCTGCAATTTGGTGTGGTGGTTTGTTTTTTGTTTGGTTTGGTTCTTTATTTTTTTTTTTTTTTTTAGCTTTTGGCATCCCTCACATGTCACAGGACTCACAGGGTGGCTGTGAGGGCAGGTGATGGCTGTGTGCTTTTTTGTCAGGTAATTTGTGAATTCCCCTTACCACCAGCTCATTTTCCTTTCTTTTACACAAATATGTTGCTGGATCTGTTGCTCTTACCTGCTCCCATCTGCCCTGTTGCTGCATCGTCCTCCTTATGTCATTTCTGTTTCAATAACGCAGTCAGGAAATTACACCAAAAATAAATTAAAAGGGAAAAAGCCTATTTTTGGTAATCTGCCTCCCACGGCAGCCACTCTGCCTGCTGTGTCCTTTGGCTTTACAGTGTAGGAATTTCCAAGAGGAGGAAAGTCCCAATTTATCCAAAGGCATCAATGACCACTGCGCCCCAGTAATCAGCCAGCTGAGCTGGAGGCTGGGGTGGATGAGAACCCACCTCCAGGGCAGCGTTTGCCAGCCCCAGCCCCTCAGGGTGGTAGCCGTGCCTCTCTGCAGGCTCTGATGCCTCATGCAGCTTTGCAGCTTGAAGTCAGTCTCCAGTTTTGCTGCTGCCCGAAGCGGCCAAGCGAAGAGACCCACCCTGAGCGGCTCAGGGTCCCTGCAGGCACAGTGGAGTGGCTGGCCAGCGGCACAAGAAGCTCTTGGAGCAGAATATGGTGCGAGCAGGCTGCCAGCTCCAAGGAAGATGCTTGTGGTCCCAGCTGCAGGAAATACTGGGAGAATGTTTGGCAGCCTCAAAAATGCTAACTTAAATGATAATGATCTCATTCTGCACTGGTTTAATGAATCATAACAGGCACAATAACACTGTTCTCGGAAGATTTATGAGGATTACTTTAAAAAATATATTAATGATTAATTTGCGAGAACAATGTAAAAACCTCCATCTGTTTCACTCTCTATTGATTCAGGTGACATTTACTCAATGCCTGTGTACTCATGGCTCAAGAGTTTCATTTTTTCACTCTTAGTTCGGTTGTGCAATAATTTGTATTTTGTATTTCAGTTCAAGGAAAAAAAATCCCCAAGAACTAACAGAGAAAGAAGTAGGGAATTGCCTCCTAGAATGATTTGCTGCTAGCCAATTTCAGTTTCACCAGATAACTTGTTTTTTTTTTTGTCAGGCCAAAAGACTCCTAGCCGGCTGTAAAATATGCGGGTTGTTCCAACAGTTGGCTTCCACCCCCCTCCCCAATTTTCTGCAATAGGTGTCTAGTTTCTTTAGTTTTTATTCAGAAGTGGGACTGTCCTGGGTTGAGAGAGTGGTGGAGTTTTTTGGTGGCAGGGGAGGGGGCTATCGGGGCGGCCCCCTGTGAGAAGCTTCTCGAAGCTCCCCCAGCTCCATGTCAGCTCCACTTCTGTTTGGGAAATTGAGCCAATCGGCTGCGCCTCTGCGATAACGTATTTAAGAAGGGATGTGGTGACGGGCAGTGGGACTTGTGAGGAGGAGTTGCTGCAGCTGCATGAACACCAAGGTCAGTGGAGGAACGGAGGAAGAAAGGAGGGGGGAGGTGTGCCGGAGCAGAGACCCCCTGTATCCTGTGGTGAGACGGCAGGGCGGCCCCCCCCCCCCGCCACCCATGGAGATCTACGGTGGAGCAGACATTGATTTACAGCCTGTTGTTCCTGCTCGGGTGATCAAGGTTCTGTGCCTGAAGAAGGCCGGGGTCTCATGGAAAAAGGTAGCCCCGCTGCTGTAATTCAGCACTGGGAGGATTGCAGCGTGCGGGGGAGTCCCACGCCGGAGCAGCTCGGGAAGGGCTGCAGCCGTGGGAGGGAATCCAGTCGGAGGAAGTTAGTGACCCATGACGGAGCAGTGTGGGGAACGCTGCGGCCCATGGGAGGAATTCAAGTCAGAGAAAGTTTGTGGAGGACTGTCTCCTGTGAGAGGGGGACCACGATGGAGCAGGGGGAACAAGTTTTGGACACTCCCCTCACCGAAGATGAAGGAAGTGGCAGCACTGACTGCACCCCCCATTCCCTGCCCCTGCGCCAGTGGGGGAGGAGGTAGAGATATCGGGAGCAGAGCTGAGCCCGGGAAGAAGGGAGGGGTGGGGGGAAGGTGTTCTCAAGATGTGGCAATGCTTCTCACTGTCCTACTCTGTTATGTGTTGTTAGTGTCTGTAATAAATGTATGGGTTTTTTTCCTTCCCCTAACGAGTCTGCCTTTTGCTCGTGATCATAAAAGGGGGATTTTCCCCCATCCCAGTCCTATCTTGAACCCCAAGCCTGGCTCTCTGTCCCTTCTCATTGCCGGAGGGGAAGGGAGAGAGAGGTGCTGCATTGTGGTTGGCTGCCAATCAGGCCTAAACCACGACAGGGACAAATCTTTTTCTCCAAACCCTTGAGTATTTCCAGAGGATGGAAATTCCAGACAGCCTTACTGAAAACTCCAAAGCATCAGCCTGTGACCAGTTGAAGCAACAAACGCAGCCAGAGGAATTGCCACGTGTTGCTTCACCCAGGAAGCCCTGTCTTTTCCACCAGACTTTAAAGGGAAAGATAAATTACTTTGTCCCATTCAAGCTTCAGCTTGGGACATTAGTTATTTTGGAGTGTAGAGGTATGTTACAGCCACTGTGCTTGAGAGACTGCAGATCTGCTCAACTCTTAAATAAGGGGTATTTTTCCTCCACACTTTATTTCATGTACAGTCTGCCTGGCTTATTCATCTGCCACTCTTGACATTTAGGTGTTACTGTGTTATGCTTAATGCTATTCAGGCCTAGATAGCTAATGAAATGTGCTAAATGTCATTAGTGATCTCATGATCATATAAATTCCCAGGATATTCTGAGTGTTCATTCATATTAAATGTACTTTTTAGAACTAGTTTTCATGGAAGGATATAATTTCACATCAGTAATTGCATAACAGTGAGTGCTAAAGTAAGAGTTTAACCCAGACTCCAGAATATTTCCCACTACAAAATACTTTTCATGAATACCGTATTCATTTGATGCCACAAAGACTTCAGAATTGCTACTCTCTAGCATGAGTTTTTCCATGGGACATGTTCTCATATTACTAGTATTTATAGGGACATTTGCATCCACATTAAAATATGTTAGTGCAGCATAAACACAGTGGAGCCTGAAGAGCCTTAAGAGAGTGGCCCTTGGCATTTAAGAAAAATATACCTAGCAAATCACTGAGACTAGTCTAAAAGCAAAATTACACTGGTATAGCCTGCTGGAAAAGGAACACATTGTTTTAGGGCATCCCTCTCTAGAGCCATCTTGTCTGGAGGACTGCTAGGGGCCAGCTCAGCACCATGTTTCACCAGCTCTAAGACACTGGTTAGTCTGGCAAAATAAAGGTGTTTAATGTCTCCTTGTGGCAATGTTATACGTTCCTATGCAGTATTGCTTTAAAAAAAAAAAAAAAAAAAAAAAACAAAAACCATTTATGACAGTTGCATTACTTTTTCTTTCTGAACAGGGCTGCTGTAGGGATTTCAGAATGCTGGGTCAACTAGGCTTACCAGCTACCAGCATTTTGGAGCTTGGTCTTCATCACTCCTCATCTGAAAAGGTCCTTTTGACATCCAGGACCACAATCCAACATGGGCACATAAGTCCTCTTCATCTCCCTCGCCTAAGCCTGCTGATAGGATCTGTGATTTGCAGTCTCTGGCTGGCAAGTAATTATAATTACAGTCACTAGCTGGCATTTAATTATAATGGCCCCTATCCTCACAAGGCGTGTGGTTCTGCTGACAGCTGTGGGAGGTGGAAGGGGAGCAGAGGCTGCACAGAAAGCTGGGTGCACGGAGTTCGGGGAGTGACTCCTGGCAGCTGCTGCATCGCCAAAGGAATATGGCATCCTGGTCCAGGGCAGTTTTCTTGTGGGATCCAGAGCCACCATGGTAGACACTAATGCCTGGATGTAAACGGCCAGCAGCCTTGTTTCAGCAGCTCTGGAAAATGACACTGAGGCTGTTTGGAACCTCACGATGCTGGTGTCAGTGTCTGTAGCACAACAACTGGTAAGTCCACCACCGCACGGTAATAAAGCCATGCTCTTACGGGTGCACTTTGAGGCGTCTCAGACACTGAGACCCTTGGGCCAGCAGTCCAGCATCCAGGAGGCACAGCACCACCAGACATGTTGAGATCACCAATGGAGACCTCTGCCCTCTTCTGCTGCTCACAGGAGGAGGAGGAAGGCCGGGCTGCAGTCGGTGTGAGGACATGGCACCTCAATCCCCCACGCCTGGAGGCTTCACCCATTGAGCAAAACCCAAAGTAGTGTGCAGGCTGCAGAAAAGCTGGAGAATGGATTTGCTCCATGGAGAGACCTCATGGGATGCACTGATGTGAGGCACGGTGAGGGCGGGTGACCCCATGCCAGGGTAGGGGAGGTCCACCAGCCTTCCCTTAGAAGAAGCTGGAGCTTCCCACCACTTTGAAAACAACACAGGGGAACTGGAAACAGCAGCAATGTCCAGTTTCCTGTGAGACAGACACTGGCTGACCAAGCATCACCAGAAAGCTGCATTGTCTTGCTTTCACCTCCAGATGTCATATTTTTGTCTATTTTTCACATTTTAGAGTTTCCTGCTTACCTGTTTGGAGTCTCCTGTGGGCTTCTCTGCTGGAAAGACAAAACACAGCATCCTTGACACACACTTTTTGCTGAGTTGGCTTCTTTTTTCTTTAGCTTGAGGAATTTAAGCGATTAATAGTGCTGACAGCTAACTGTATGCCTTAACATTAATCCTCTCCATGGAAGCAGGAAAAAATGGGCTTCTTGCAGTACCTGGTGTCTGCCTGATCAGCTGGACCACAGAACAAATCCAGCTGTAGTTCTTAGATAAGCCTCAGATAGTCCTAGTGCTAAATGACTTTTTTTTTGTGGGCACATCCTCCTTTTCTTTAATATTGATGTCTTTTAAAAATTGTTGTCAGCATATATGGGTTTGACAGGGAAGCATTGCAAAGTTCAAGAGTGTGCAGGCAGCAATAGACTTGAGAAGTAGGATGAAATGAATTATTTTAGAACTAAGGATTAAGCAATCCTATGTTGAATAAAGCAAAAGTGGACAGTCTGGAAAAATGAAATAACCATAGCAAAAACATGACTATTAAAAAAATTCACCACTGAATGAACTACAGTAAATAAATATGTAAAAACTCAGTTCAAAACCAAAAACTGCACACCCCCTCTTCCCAAGTGCTTCCCAAGTGTAGAAATAATTTTGGTTATCTGCTTCACATTTTCATTTTCATGTAGATCTAAAAACTTTTATGGTTGAATGGGTACTGAAAAGCCTACAAACACATTTAACTAATAAGCATGAGAAAAGTCATTAAGGGTGAGTAAAAGCTCTGTAGAAGAAGGAGTGTGTGAGTAAATTTGACTTGGGATTTATAAGATGGGAGAGGAACTGTGTATGAAGTGTGGATGTGAATTAAGACTATACAGAGAGCATATTGGAAAGGTTAATGTTTCAGAATTAAGATGAAAAAAGAAAAAGCATGCCACCCATCCTTGTGGAGTGAGGTGGGGAAAAAAGAAAAGAGCAAAGGAAATAGAAGCACTGATTTTTCCGGGCTGGTAGGACCTTTGCTAGATAACTCAGCCCTAGACAGGTTCAGTTAGGGGGAATGAGTATCTCTCCATAACCCTGCAGCTCCATGGAGGTAAGAACAGCAGCTGGCAGGGGCCATCAGAACAGTGGAGAGAAAAGGGAAAAATTCACCCCCTTTTCCATGGTGAGATGTGGAAACAATCAAAAGCATCATAAATGCTTAAAGATACAGAGTCTGGCTTGTGCTTTGTAAAGGGCGTAGTGCTTTTTGAGGCGAGAAGGAAGAGAACAGTATCTTTAAATCTTAGTTCTTCTAGAGACACCCTTGCCTGGTAAGCCAGACGTTTTCACCTGACAGTGATCAGGTTAGCCCTTTGCATGGCTAAGTTTGTGTTTTGCAGGCAGGTAAAGCAAGCGCTGAAGCCATCACCTGCAGTAAGCCCTCAGTGATATCCACCCCAGACATTCAGACCAGGCAGATGGTAACTCACAGCCTCTCTCCGTTTACTCTGCTGGGCAAGATCCTGAGCACAGGAATTGGCAAGAAAGATTAACTATGGTTTTAGTCTCTTGGGTGTTTAATTTTTCCAGGCTATGTTATGCACAACATCCTGTCAAAAATATTCACATCGTTTGTTTAAAAAGACCCAGGAAACTACATACAAAACCTAAAATCTGCAGATGCTGTGGCACACTCTGCTGACATTTATGAGCCTTGCCACCCTCTTTTTCCATGTGGCAGCTCTTCCAGTGGCGGGTGTTTACTGAACCTCTGCAGCTCAGAAATAAAAAATACAAGGACCTTGGTGAGAAGTTCTCACATTCTTTCCTTGATTACAGCGCACCATCTACTCAGGGTCAGGCAGGTCTTCTATGGACCACTTGGACCCTCATCACAGCTGGTGGTGGCTGCTGAATGTAACCCAAGGTGGTTTTGCAACGAGGTTGCGTGGCAGTGCTTATCACTCTCTGTCTCACTGCAAACAGTCTCCAACACTGGTTGAGGACTTTCAGGCAACCTGGCATCACGAGGCACATGTGGTAACAGGGATAACCCTGTTTTTTAACACGTGCTGCAGCCACGCCTGGTTAATTATCCAGCTTGCAGCCTGAGGGTGGGGGCGCTTGTTTGGAGCCGGCAGGGTGGGGAGGTCCTTGGGACAGCAGGGAAAGGTGCCAGCATCCTTCATGAGTGTGGCTGGGAGGCTACAGGGGACCGTGTCTGTACTCACTTTGCTGTAAGGCACTAGTGGAAAATAGCAGGGATGGGGTAATCTTTGTCAGACAAGGATGCAGGGGTGTGCCTGGGTGGGTGAGCTACAGCCCTGGTGCTGGTCGAGCCCACCCTGGGAAGCAGAAAGGGCTGCTGAGGCTCTGCAACCCCATGCAGAGGTGTCTTCTCCACTCAAGGCACAGGGAAGATGTGTCTGGGGTTTCCTAGTTCCACAGCTCTGCATCAGACAAGGTGCTACAGGAGGAAGCTCCAGGCTCTGGAGAAAGCTGTAGATTGAGCAATGCAGATCTCTTTGCATGCTACTCAGGACAATTTAGCTAGCACCTTCCCAGCCAGCTAGGGAATGAACAACCTAGGCAGATTTTGTATATCCTTAGAACCCCAGTATGTGTATAAAAAGACATTAATGGGACTAAAATATCGCATCTCTTCTTTCTCTGAAGGATCCAATGTATCTGCAAGAAATTTTGGAGTTGAAGAGCGGTATTGTGTGAAAGGTACCAGGGAAACAAGAAAGTCCAGGGACCTTTCCAGCCATATTGTTGCTGCTAAGTTTTTCCAGGCTGCAGTTCTGTAATGCCTAACAAGCATGAATAAATATATATACAACTGTAATTTTTAAGCTGTGTGGCAAGACAGCTGCTATTACCCGTGTTTGCTATTTCCTTGCCCCTTCATTTCAGTACTCTGGGGTATTCAAAACTTTGTTGAGTTAGGACTTCACTTTTAAGCCCCACTGTGTAGCTGCTGAACGGCTCATATTGGTCGAGAGCAGCACTGCTTCTTCCTGCTACAACCTCTGCATTGCCTGATGAGCTCCTCTGAGTGGTTTCATGCCTCCTGCAAACTGCACATGGGCAGTGGGGAGACATCTCCCAATCGCTTTACCCATTTTAACATGGCTTTGCACGATGCACCTTGGTCGCAAGCTGAGTGCCAGAGATGCCCTTGAAAGGTGGACTGCCAGCTGCAGTCACCTCCCAAAGGACTGTTAACTCCTCAATAAGCATCCTGGTTGTTGCAAGACCCAAGACACTACTTTTTGCTGAAAATCAAGAGGACACAGCTGAGGGTCATGGCAAGTGCTCTTCCCTCCAAAAGACTTTGCTTTTCTCACTCTGCTGTAGATGAGGTTGATCTGCTGCTGCAGGTCTTGGACCATGCACAGGTGATGTGGGCTCATTGCCACGTGATCCACTCCCACAGCACTACTTTCCAAGGGTCAGTAGCTATCCCAGTTCAACACCTTCAGGGATTTTGTGTTGGATGTCACCCCCAAGGTGCTGGTGGGAGCTGTTATCAGTGAACAAGTCATGTCTGGCCATGAGTTTTCAGGTACCCTCTGCAAGGATGCATAGCCAGGGCAGCCTAAGGCAAAGAGGGCACATGCCTGCAGAGTAAACCAAGAGAGTGACCTCCCTGACATTTAAAATCACACTGATTTAATACCTGTATACAGGAAGGGAAAAAGAAATTAAGCAAGATATGAAAAATAAGTCCCTTTGGGGCACTAAAATGCTGTTTTGATCCTTTAGTGCTGGGGCATCTTGATAATAAATTCCTTAGAAACATCCTGTAAAGCTTAGACAGACTATATTGACTTATCTTTTAATTTATAAACACAAAGAGTCTGCATGTCAATAAATTATGGGGCTCATGAGCAATGATATCATTCAGCTGTTTCCTGACTCCCTTCTGCTGAAGGACAGATGAGCTGAATCTTGTCCTGCACTCCCATAGTCAGGACCTGACAGCATGTGAGACCCATGCCGTGACTGGCAGAGTTTTTCATCTGGTTTCCAGAGAGCCTGGGTAAATATGCTTTTTGCTATATAGCTTCCATTGCTGCTCAAACATTGTCTGAGCGTGCATTCAGCTGGATTCAGGAATGGCTCCCCACATGAAAAATTCCCATGAGTAAGATTTTCCCTTATTTATCTTTCTGTTTTCCGCTGTTTATACCATTCCCCTCTGACCTCCATTACTTCTTCCCCTCTCCTTCCATTCCTGCCAGAAATTTTCACTTTCTTTATACATCAGGTCCCACAACTTACAATTAACTTGCTTTTTAAAAACAACCCTCTCCACTTTATACAAGTTCAGTCTGCCTTCTCTGCAGCATGCCATGGCTATAGCTTGGCTCAGTTGTTTTCCTCAAACAAAACATTAAAGAAAAGCTGTAACTATGCCCCTTTTGGCATGAGTAATACAACCAAGAGAAGGTTTTTGTTTCTCCTGGCTCTCCCCCAACACACTTTCAAGACAACTCCACTAACATACCCACATCATTCTGTAGTGCCTGGGCACAAGTTCAATCCATGGGCTTCCAGCTGAGTTCAGTGTTGTGTAGCCCTCAAAGAACAAGGCCCTTAGAGGTATTTAGGTGTCTAAGTGCTTTGGTACATTTGCATCTGGTCTACCTAAGGTTTATGTCATGGGTTTAACCATCCTCCATGGGGTGCTTTGGCAAAGTGTATAAATCCAGTTAAATAGCTGAGGAGAGGAAACCAGCCTGGGAGGGATCCTAACTGGAGGCTGATGGGTCCTTGTAGTGGCAGTCAGTCAGGGACCTGTGGATGGGGACTTGGTCTTCTCTATCCAGTGAGGCTTGGTGGAAGCAGAGTGAGATACCTGTGCTCATGGGAGCCATCTAGTCTCACTCCCTGAAAACTGCCATGTTTTGGGTGCGGATAGCATGGTATGGAAATCAGAAGCTAACAAGAGGGCAAGAGCTGGAAAGGGTAATACTGTGAAAGTCTGGGTCCACCTTGGGCAGGTGCTGTACCCCAAACCCTTGCTTCTAGAAGCAAACAAGCCTTACCAGGGAGTGAGTGAGTGTCCTACTTTAGGACCTTCCTTCTTTCACTCCAATTAATTAGGGCTGAATACTTTCTGCCTCCTCCACGCAATGTGGGGGTGACAAAGCTGCCCAGCATGTCAATTCCCATTGTGTATCTGGAAACTCCACCTTCCTCCATGGAGATGACACTGTGCAGAGACCTGAGCTCTTCCCTCCTTTCTAATGACTGGTTATTGGTTTGAAACACTTTTGAAGCCTTGTGTGAGTGCTGCAAACTGCTGCTTCACCAGGGTTATGTCATTATCCATGTATTTTTGCTAGCGTTATCCTGACTTCTTGTGTTTCAGTATCAGCTTGAGGACTTGATGCTTATTTTAAGGTAAGGCTGAGAGAGTTCAGCTTTCCCCAATGCTACAAGAGGAAGAAGTGCTTGTTGGGGCCATTTGTACATAAGCATCCTGCCTCACTCTGAGCCACAGCCTCTTGTGATCAGTGACATCCCAAGGGGAGTGCATCACTGTGGTCTGTCTGCTGAAGCCCAATGTGAAGCCCTCCTGCCTTTGTGGAGCTGTTTCCAGCCTCCTACTCTTCCCGCCTGTTCTGCATACACCTTCCCAGCCAGCAACAGTCCCCACAGCAAGTTCAGTGCAATACAACCCCTTGCAAAGTGTTTTGTATGCCCAGCCACAGCCCGGAACCAATCTGCCTCCTGAGGCAATACAGAGTTTGCAATAGCTCCCAACAAGGACTGGCTGGGAGGTCTGGTGCACTCCAGAAGCTCATATAGGAGGAGGCAAGCCCAGGGAACTAGGTGTACATGCAAAGCACAGCAGTGTTTTCTGGTGTCCCCCTAGTCTCAACTAACACTTGCCAGGAAGCTTGTGAGACGTGCCATGGCTCTCTTCCTGATCCTTTGCTGATCCCAAGAAGGCTGGCTGAGTTAGTAACACCAGTGCCGTTGTAGTGGGATTGGCACTGATAGGTCCCTGAGGCTCATGCATCAGTCAGCAGGTCCACCCCAGGCATTGACTGCTCCCAGAATTTGGCTTCCAGGGGACATCATTGGAAATGAAGATCTTCCCATGGCCAGTACAAACCACCCTCCAGATGTCACTGCTGCCGCACAAATCCCCACTGTGCAATCCTTCCTGTGCAGTTTGTGGTAACAGAGCATGTGATAAAGTAGATTTGCACACTTTTTTCTTCCTTCATTGATTTTTTTTTTGCTGCTACTGCTACACTCTGGAACAAGGCCCGAAACATTTCCAGCTCCTGGTGGAACACCGCCCTGAATTCGCTGCAGAGATGACACATGCCTGTGACTGAGCAGAAGCTCACACACTGGCACTGCATTTAGTGCTTACTGTAAAAGCTTTCTTCCTGGAGACGCCATCAATAAAGCAGTGAGTTAAGTTGCCAATTAATCAGGGCTCAGCCAGAGCTGGCAGCAGACCCTGAGATGTGGATGGCATTTGGGGGTTTTTCTGCTGCTGCTTGGTTTTGCTTTGTGTTTTGTTTTGTTTTGTTTTGTTTTTGTTTTGTTTTGTTTGTTTGTTGTTGTTGTTTTGTTTGTTTGTTTTTTGTTTTGGTTTGGTTTGGTTTTTTTGGTTTGTTTTTTTTCCTTCTGTTTTTTTTTTTTTTTTTTTTTTTTTTTTGTTGTTTTGGTTTTTTTGTTGCTGTTTTTGCTTGTTAGTTCATTTTAGTTTTTTTGGTTTGTGTTTTTCACCCCTGTGCTATTGCTGATGTGACAGGATAGCCCCTGCTCCTTGGTCTTACATGATATGAAACACTGGGATGCTGTTCAGTCTTTAATCTGGGGAGGAGTGCCCATCTTAGTCAATTCAATAAATGGAACATAATCAAGTCACCTTTAGTGCTCATGTCCATGCTAATATTTGTAGCTCTGGTCCTGCCTAGCCCTGTCTCATCCCTGCAACAGCTTGTGGTCCTCTGACTTGGCTTCCTTACACTACAAACCCTGTTTGTGGTTTGTTTTTTTTTTAAATCTTCTGTTCCCACTCACAACAGAAAACACTGTACCAAATGCCCTCCCTCCTTTGAAAGCAGTTTATTCAAACCTGCCTTTGCAGAGATCCTTTGCCTCTCCATTTTCTTCCCCATTGTGCAGAGGCCTCTTAAGGCTACCTACAACCATTAGAGGCACAGTATCCTCACCTTATATGGGACTATGCCAGAAATGATGGATAAAATGGGTCTTTTATAATCCTTTACTAACTATATAGGATAAGTAGTGGGATAATTACATGGGATAAATAGTGGGACAAGTATATGAGATAAACTGGCTCTTTTACAGTCCTTAACCTTATATGGGACTATATGAGAAATGATGGATTGTCTTCTGTAGTCCTTAACTTCTCTGTAAAATACTCCAATGCTTGATACATACCAGGCATTTCAGATGTCCTAAGTGTGCATTATTAAACAAATACCAACAACCGGTAACAGCAGCACACATCACAAAAATTCCTGAGCTGCTGCCACCCACTGGCGTCATTGCCTTAGTTTTGCAATGACTAAACGCTCCCCGGCAAACATCTAGTTTCCACTTTTACTTCTTATAAAACCCAAAGGGGAGGTGTAGAAGGAGTTCCCTTTCCCACTGTATGCCAGTAAGTCCAATACATTACCTGTCTTAGCACAAAGCAAGGAAAGGCAAAGGAAGACAGAAAGTCACCTCTGTATTGAAAAGACAACCACCTCTTTTTCTTTATAGAGACCAGAATTGGTGGATCAATTTTCAGGCTTGATTTCCAACCCATTTTCTCACTTCCAGCAGTATTTACTAACTGGAAAGGAAATCCACATCTGACTTTTCTTCCTAGGCATTTCTGATATTGAGTGCACAAGGGAGAGGAGGGATAGTGTTACAGTGAGCAGACTGAATTGCTGTTTGGCCTCAGCCAGCTCCCACCAAAATAACCAGTGTCTTCTGCCTCCTTCTGTGGGCTGTGGAGCAGGGTTATAATTAAACGCCTTGTATTCCTGGCACAGGGAAGGACAGAGGATGGGGTGAATCTGCCCAGCTCCCAACCAGTCCCTGCACCAGGTCTGCAGCTGCCATGCACCCACTGCTCCCGCAACTTTCAGCTCTTGCAGGCAAATGTGATGGCAGCTTCCAAGCAGGGGCGAGGGATGGTGTCTCTCCCGATCTAGCTGACCTTAAAAAGGGGGCAAGGGGCTGCAGCAATGGGTGAGAAGCTGGTTGCTGTGGCTGGGCATGTGAGAAATGGATGCCTGGCTGAAATGACATGCTTTGCCATGGGGGATGGCAGGGGCCCTGCAGGTGTGAAGGAAGCAAAGGTAAGAAAGCTCGTGCAAATAATCACGAAGCAGATCTGGCCTCTGCAGTCCTCCCCAAGCACGTTAATGGGGAAGAAATACTCAGGGATGCTGTTGTATCTGCAGCTGACACCAGTGGAGAAAAAGAGTTCCTTCCTGCCTCTAGACAAAAAAACAGAAGTACAGTCAAGAATGGAGGGAAGAGACCAACAGGCTGCCTGGGGAGCGTGGGACACTAGCTGCTCTTCCAGACAGGTGCTGCTTGCGGAGGTACACCTTCCTGCAAGAACGTGAAGAAATGGACAGCTTTATAGAAACACAACACAGGTTTCTGTTTTAATGAGAAAATAATTATATACTTGCATTGTAGGCCTCACAGTCACTATAAAACAGAAGCAGGATAACATTTAAGTGGTTAACATACAGAAAGCCAGGTATTGTTGAAACTGGTTGATAAGTCATGACAAGGATGCCGCCTTTTGGTTGCCAAACATGTCAATGCTACTGTATTTTCCTTCAGATAATGTCAGTATGGAGCAAGATGAAGCCCAAACTGGCAGCTTTTAAAATTGTTCAGAAAACCTGCACTGTAACCCCAAACTGATTATAATCACAAATGCTAATGCTTAACTATTTCTCAATACACAATTTCATAAAAACCAGTCTTTGCCACGGGAAAGGATCTGAGCATTTCTTTTGTGGAGACAAAGTTAACTCTGCAATAGTGCTCTTGTTGCATTTGATATAGTTATATATAGATAGATATGTATTACTGGCGTATACTTATAAACACCTAAGCTTGGTAGCATGCAAATGAAATAACAGAGGCAAGTAAACTGCATTGCACTCGTGTTACCACAGCACTAGATGTGTGCTGCTGACTACGAGTGTCCATAATTTCTGGAAGAGAAAAACTTAGCTGGGTGGAAAGTTCGACTGTCCTGGACTGATACATGTAAGTACTTTTGCCACGGGGTCTGAAAGCTAGTATTTCTAGCACAGAGGACTCATACTTGGCCTCTCCCCACCACCACATCCCCTTTCTAGGGGAATAATTTAATTTTCACTTCAAAGACTGAGGACTGGGTGTGGTGGTAGAGGCGGATGTGGCAAAGCACAAAAAGATGTCTTATGATGGGTAATTGATGTCACTGGCTTCCAGTGAGAGAGCAGGCAGAAAAAACAGGCCTCCAGCTTAAAGAAAATAAAGATGCAGGTTCCTGGGAAAGGCAGGTGAGGGCTGCGCTGGTTTCAGGTAGCAAATATTGTGAGGAACTCTGAAAAGCATTGTTTGGTGCAAGGCCACCTCACCGTAAGTGCAGGGGTCATGTCCTCTGCTCAGGAAACCCTTTTTTCCCAGTCTCACTTAAGCTCTCCCCATGGTAGAGGGAGCCAGGACTCCTCTTGGTACGGATGCACAGAGCTCCCAGATGTGGCTACGTGATGTATGGTCTCACCAGAGCGCTGCATTGGTGGCACTGCTTTTCCTACAGTCTTACGGTAACGACCCGCTAGCAGATGTGAATCACAGCTCACTGTCAACTGCCACGTCTGAACAACAGGTCCCCTTCATTAGGTATGCAGTTCCTTCAGAGGCATGGTGCCTCTCCATGCACCTGGGTTTAGAGCGCATCCTTGAGATAAGCTCGCTGCCCTTATCACAGTGAACACTCAGTTCAGCAGGGTTTTCTTCTGCTCAATAGCACTTAGGGAGGCAACTGGCAGAACTGAGTTAGCAGGTATGTATGAGCGTATTTGCCACAATTCCCTGAAAATAAGCCTAAAAATTTTAGTGTCCCTGGACAGAAATTGCATGCTGGAGGAACTGAAGAGGGAGGGATAATTTGGTTGCCAGCTCTGTGTTCAAGAAAAGCACCAGAAGTATGTTCACAGTATCAGTACTCATTTTAAATGAGCTCACTGCTTGAGGATAGAACAGCACAGCAGGTCATGAAACCAAGGAAAGGCTTAAGGGAGGACCAGTATCCTGGCTGATGAATTTTTAAAAAGATGTCAAAATAAAAATTGTTTACAAAAAAGATGCTGTATTATATAGAAAAAAGCTCAGTGTCTTTTTTTCTGCCATCTCCCAAACTTGTTGCTTTCTAGTCCAGAAATTATGGTTCCCAGTTGTAAAATATTCCTATTGTATTGTTTGTGTGAAAAGAAAGAGTAAACCCGCAGCCTCTATACTACATACAAATACAAAGCACAAGAATAAATACCACATTTCTTTTCCTAATTGTCATCTTACGAAACTGGTCGATACTTTGCAATTGTGACTCATGCAAATACCATGTTGGGTCAAATTTTAATATCACAAATACTGCATTAACTCAGTGCCTTGTTTTTATATCCCCTTTCAGAAAAAAAAAAAAAAAAAAAAAAAAAGAAAAGAAATTAGCACTCACCCCTATAGCTGGTAAACAGCTTTGGAGAAAATAATCAGTATACGCACTGCCATACACTTTCTGGTATGCCAGCCCCATGCACACACCCACACACACATGCACACACGCACGCACGCACACACACACACAGATCCACACTAATCCTTCACTGATGATCCCAAGCCTAAGCAATAACTAAAGGCTCTATGGTTTGCTTGTAGCACTGAAAACACTGGCTGAACGGCAAAAAATAATGTTTTCTTCCCTTGTCTGCTCTTCCTTGCTCGCTCCTTCCAACTCATTATGCTCCTTAGCTTTTTTGTTGCCTGGAAATGTGAAGACTTCCACAAAGCACTCTACTTCAAAGGCTTTTTAATGTTGTATAAATATAGTTGAAGACATAACTTTCTTCTTTATTTCATACCTCTTTCTAGGCCAGGGTCTGGCTTAGTTCAATTATTGCCTCATTTAAAAATTAAATGTACTTTATTTGTATCCATTTCCCACTACCTTTCTACTTCAAATTATCCATCTTCATAGATTTTACACATATGCCATTCTTTTCCCTCCCCATCAAAAAATACAGATGATCTAAATACAGATTTTCTATTTAGAAACTTTGTTACGTAAATATGCTCTGAGAACCTGGAGCTCAGGTGATATTGCAAGCATATAGGATCCTAAAGCTAAGGTAATCCATTTGGCTTAGCTCTCATCCCCATCTATTCCACTCCTAAATTGTGATGGCTTGTGTTTGCAACACAAGGACTGTTTTACTGAGTCTACTGGATTGTACATTTGCGATAACTGCCTGTTTTTCGTTTTGTTTTGCCTTTTAAACAGATAAATTACTAGAAAGGGGAGCAGAACCCACCCTCCCAAAAAGCCACCCCAACCCCAACCCCAACCTTTCAGTCCCCTCAAAGGAACAGCAACAGAGGGCAAGACCGTTGTGTTTTGTGGCTGGGTGAGAGTACGTCGAAGTACCGCCGACGGCCTCAGTGCAGCGGCTGTGGGAGGTGAAGGGACTGCAGGGTCCGACGGGAGCTGCTGGGGGGACGGTGACCCCGGGGGCAAGGCAGGGCTGTCAGTTCGGTCAGCGGGAAGCACGAGCGTGAGCCCTGGCCGCAGGATCCTCCTCGCCGACCTCCCGCCAGGCACCTGCAGCCTCTCCGGTCCGTGGGGACAACAACCCCCTCGTCCCACCCCCCCAAGGGCTCCCACCCCCTGCACACTCCCCTTTGCATTATTTCAGAGGGGGGATGGAGGGAATCAGAAGGGGGTATTTCCTAGGTGGGTTTTTCCTGTTGTTTTAGGATTGCCAGGAGTTGGATCATTTCTGTGTCTATGTGCATCATTGAGTTTGTTGTGTGTTTAATAAATATTGGACTAAAATGCTGCTGCTTTTGTGGTGTTTCTGTTTTTTTTTTTTTTTTTTTTTGTTTTGTTTTGTTTTGTTTTTAAATTCCTTTCTCTTTTTTTTTTTTTTTTTTTTTTTTTGGTTTCCGAGTGTCTGGTTGCTGTCTTCACGCTGCCGCGTGGTTATTCGTCCTCCTCCCGGTTGGCATAAATGCCGGCTTCCCAACGCAGCGCCAGAGCACTCTTTCTGCGGTTCACCCTGGTCGCCTCAAGGACCTGGTCAGGAGAGAAAGGGAAAACATCATGTCACTCAGCTGCCTGTGGCCCCCGTGCTGGGGTGCCCAGCACCGTGCACCCGAGCAGGCAGGGACCAACCAGGCCAGCCCTTCCCACCGGGCTCCCAGTGCCGCACCTCGTGCAAACTGGGAGGATTCATGCGATGAAGCACTTGCTGATGTGAAGGGTGGGGGCGGGGTGGGGGTGGGGGGGAATGGCACACAAGAGCAAAGCCACACCACAGGAGGACAGAAGTGGTGGGAGTTGTCTGGCAGCATGAAGCTCGCTTCAGGGGAGCCCCAGCTGCCCCTTCCCCGTCCCTGGCTGGGGAAAGCAGGGGACAGGGTCTTGGTCCTCTCCCCGGAGGCAGCTGCGCACCTTCGGTACCAGGAGCCAGCAACCACCCGACAGCTTTGTCCAGAGGCTGCTTTGGAGCTGCAAGTGCAACCTGGAAAGCAGTCTGCTACTTATTTCAGCACATCACCCCCGCAGGCAGAACTAGGCAGCCCACCCCACACTGCCTCTGTGGTCTTTGGCTATGGGAGAGCCTACGTGCACTGTGATCAAAGTGCTCTTGGAGTGAGAAATCACTGTGTACATATGGGAAGGAGATTTACACGAGGAGGACCCGTAGAATCTGGTATAAGATGGGCCCTGATACATTCATGTATTTTTCATACACACAGTCACAAACATATATGCATACCTATAAAAATACACACGCTGTGTATGTATTATACATATGCACACACATACACACACATAAACAATTAACTAGAAAATAAACAGTTTTAATATGTGTTCTAACAAAGTTAAAAAAAAAAAATCATACAAAACCGAAAGGTGTTATTGTGATGTGCATCTGATGTACTACTTGGAAAATAATGTATGGCAGTGGGTGTTCTCCTCCCAGCAAAATGAGACATAAAGGGGTTCAGGGCCTTCTCAATGAAGCACATGGCAATGTTATTTTCTGACTGACATAGAATAACAGCTCTGTGATTAAACCAGGAAGCTGCCAACATCCACTTCCCTCAATGTGGTTTAAACCAGCCCTCCCAGAGAAGTAAACTTTTGAAATGTTTAAACAGACAGTTAAAAAACCAAAAATTGTAAAGAAAAACCCCAACAAATACATGACTGTTCACTGAAACAATGCTTGCCATCCCTGGTCCCTAATGCCTCCTGCAAGCTGCTCTGAACACTCAATGACTGCAGAACAGTATCTGGCCTTTTGAGAAAGGATGATACTATTTTATTCTTCTGTGCAGAAAGTCATATATGCAGTGAGGACTTAAGCCTTAACAGGAATAAAAGTAACAAACTTAAGACTAAAGAAACTCTTCGTTCAGCTTGTGACAAGCTGTGGTTGGAAGAGTACACAGGTACTAGGGGCTCCTGTACAGGCAACATCAGGAGATTGGCTCTGAACTGTTAGCTGAAATTACAGGCTGTAACTTTGCTTATGGGAATGAGAACACATTTCTGCATTTATGCTAAGACCCAGACCTCCATTCAGGTGGATGACAGTAGGGTGGAGTTTCGCCAGCTTTATTATTTCTTTGCCTTCCTAGTTTCTTTTTGACTATCACTATGACCAAGCCAAAGAACTAAAGGCAAAATCCGGCCAAAAGAGGTGATTTTAAGCTACAGCTCCATCTGCTTCCTGGCACTGACTAGTGCTACAAAAACTGGTCCAGGTCTACCGGAGTGATATTTTTTTTCTGAAATTTTGCCTGGAATCATGCCTCCTCTTTTTGCAGAGCAAGGGACCAGAGCAGTTTCTGTTTTACCCAGTAGAGGGCAAATGTGCTCACAAACCTAATAATTCATAAAAAAAAAAAAAAAAAAAAATTGAAATCAGTAAAAAAATTCCCTCTGAGACATCAGCCTGTACGTAGTGTACTGCAGCTACTCCTACTGCAGAGATGAGGACCACTGGTTTAAACTACATGTCTTGGATTCTGAGTGCATGAACCAGGTAAAGAAAACCCAAACCGAATAATGGAGAAGCAAAACTCGGACTGGATATCAGGGCATCATCTTACTATCTTCTCAGAATAAGAAGACTAAGAAGCAGTGGTTGCTCCAAGGTTAGCAATGAAGACAGAAAAAGCCCCCATGGGATTCTTTTTTTTTTTTTTTTTTGGATGGCAACAAATACTGCTAGACAGGAGACTATCAAGACCAGTATGGGAGAACAACTAAATAAAACACAGAAGGTTACTGTTCTCCCACTGGATATTGAAATTTACATGAGAAAACAGCAAATTCAGCATGTATTTCAAACCAAAATTGCCACTGTCACAGAGTAGTGGTATATTTAAATAGGTCTGCTGAATTTGGCCTGTAGATTTATGACAGCTGAAAATAAAGTGGATTTTACATAATTTACAACAGTTCCCAGCTAGTGTCTTCCTTGCTGGAAATCAGAATGTGATGGTCTCTGGTGATGGCTTGCAACAGTCAGGACTCTTAAACTTTGAAGCCTTCTGCTTTAGATCAGTCAGTTTGTCTGTTTTAAAAGATGGCAAAGGCGTTTCTTCCATTTAACCTGTCTGCAGACATGCTCAAAAGCTTGTCTACTTCTGCAAACATTGTTGGTTGCTCCAAGAAACACAGTTCCCAGAATTATATCAGAGATACCATGAGGGCACTGAACATGGACTTCACCTTTGCAGGAAAACAAGTACTGATGCCTGGCTTAGTATTAATAAACAAGCCATTTAAATAGTAGAGCATATACTAATAAGCTAAAGGTCCCTTTGAATAGTTACTCCAGAATTATTCTTTTAGTCTACTGAGAAGAGTGTTTGACCTAAAATAACTGTCATTTTTACTCAGCTGTGTCAGTTTTACACCCACTAGAGGAAACAATGGGGTAATTATAGCATGCAACTGAAATGACTGAGTGGAGAATTGGGACTTCTCAATGGACCATTGAATTCACAACCCAGGAAGCCCTCGCCTAAAATAGCAAATGATCTCCATTTAAAAATATTCTTGGCAGATACCAGGTCTGTCTGCAGACCCATCACGAGCCCAGCACCCAGAGGCTCACCACAGCAGGTCACAGGAAGGAAAGTGTTATGCTTTTGTTGCTACGCCTGTTTTGGTGGTCATTTTGGCCATGTTACAAAATGCTACCTTAACGCTTCGTAAGTGTCCTCCCTGATGATGCCCCATGTCAGCTCAGTGGGTGCAGGCAGGGTGACCCAGGCAGGGCCAGGCTGAGTGCTCAGGATGGCCTAAGGCAGTCAGGCTCATTACTGCACGAAGATGTATATCAAAAATCAGAAAGATCACGAAGCAGACAGTTCACTCAAGCTTACGCTGAAGAACTTGAGCTGGCTACCTCCTAATGGTAAGAACATGTCAGTGGGAAAAGCAATGTTATATAAAATTGCTCTTATTTGGGAGAGGTGATTGGACTACTAGCTGCCATAGAAGAGGAAGAATTTGGAGAGCAGAAGTAGGTGTGAGTGAAAGACAAATCTTTCAAGATATGCAGGGCTGTTAAAACCACTCTTTACCTCTCTTTGCAAAAAATTGCTGTGTGGATCTTGTGGCTGCAGCTCTGGAGTTTCACTAAGAATTGCAGGGTGCTCTTTCCTGACAGATTTAATTTATTTTTGAGGATTTTGGAAAAAAAAAAAGAAAAAAAAGATCGACACAGCTACCACTGTCAGGTGTAAGATTAATTTAGCTTTCCATCCTAGAGATGGAGACCAACCTGCCCTGAGTTTCCCTCCAATAGATGTAATAATAACTGCTCTCTTACTGGCAACAGGAGAATAAAAAACAAAATACAGATATGCTTTAGTCCAAGCATATTTGTCCCTTCCACTGAAGCAAAATGATTTTTCTGGAGCTTAATATTTCTCTTGTTCTTCCCAGCTGGACCTGGAAGAACTAAAAGCAACAAAAACAGAAAATGCAAAGGTCTGGTTGTCTAAAATCTACCAGTACCACGCAGGAAAGTCACTGTGCAAGACACCTCCATGGAGCACAATGTGCATAAAGAGACAAAAGCATAACAGCAGGAAACGGGCTGTCTGCTCCTGCATACGTGAATGTTCCTGCTGAGAAATTACAAACTAAATGTTTTAACGTAAAACTGGAACTACTGTGGGACAAAGAACATCTGTTCCTCTAGTATGAAGGTATTTCTTCACTGTACCTACTTAATGCTATTCCCTGAATACACCAGACCTCTAGTCAGCACAGTGAGGAGTTGCATATCTGAGATAAAAATTTGTTTATCTCAAACAAGACAGTATTATATATTGGTCAGCATTAAAACATAAACCGTGTGCCCTCTGCCATCAAATCCAGCATGTTGGTTTTCTGTTTTGTAATACAAAAATTTTCAGCAGTAGCCTTTAATGCTGAATAAATGTCACCTTACTGCTGTATCTCCTACAGTATGACTGATATTAAGCAGACTCATGACAATGTCCTGTCAATTTGAAGATATAGTTGTATGGACAAAAGCAGAAGATTTCAAGGATAAAACTGACCTATGTATGTGCAGGTACCTAGTTATCTGCTGTATCTTTAAAACAGCAGACAGATTTGTTTTAACATAGGCTGCAGGAATTTGGAGGTTATAAAACCATGAAGCAGCCTGTGGTTTGGTACATGTAGCTTAACTGCAGCAGTTACTGTCCCTTGCTGGGGGCTTGCTGCTTATTGGAGCAGAGCCATCAAGCTGTTGGTGTGGAAGCCCCTGCTCCCAGCTGGTGAAAGCACAGCCGGGTCAGCTCCAGCACTGCCAATGATGATTAAATTCACCCACAATTAAATGCCACCTGCTTGCACTGGAGCAGATTACGGAGGGCTCTGGTCAACAGGAGACATAGCTCAGCTGTGGGGTCAGTAGAAAGTAGGGAGGCATCATGCCCTGAGTCTTGCTGTTCCTTATGAAACAACTGCCCATCTTCAGCTAAAGACATCCAGTGAGAACCAAACGGTTTCTTCAGGCAGGGGCTTAACACTGGGGATTAGCCAAGTGGCATACTTTCACCTGCATACACAATCACTATCCTACAGCCTTTTTCATCTCTACCCTATTTCCCATCCATGCACACTAATTTACAGGTCATTACTCCTTGTGTCATTATCATTTTACAAGGCAGACACGCAACCCTTCTCAGCAGAAGGCCAAGGGCTGGGCATGTAAAATCTACACCTGTGCTTCTGCCTCTCACACGACATCAAACCCTCTAATCACTACTTACTGTTCATAAATCATAACTCAGATTATTGTGCAGATATTACGGGGGGAGAAGAGGCCCAATCTGTGTTTAAAACTGGGTCTTTGAAAGCACACTGCTCTTATACTAATTAACTCTCTATAAATACTCTACACAAAGATAAATCACTGGTTTGTATCAGCAAGATAAAACACACACTAAATTATTTAATGAATAGGAAATGGCACAGACTTGACTTTGCTTTACTCTCTAAGAAAGAAAATATTCATATACTTGTCTTGAGGTAGCTGATGTGGTAAAATATGTTATGGAATAGGGAAATAGTGAAAGGTTCATGTTTATAAAAAAATGCTGATGATGGACAAATGAATGTCAGTCATAACCATAATCTGTTTGTGTCTCTTAAAGTTCAGATTTGCACATATGTCTGCACAGAAAATTATAGGCAATTGAAATGTCCACATTATTGAGTACCTTGTTCTTAACAAACTTTGCAAAAGTGTAGTTGGTATCAACTCTCTGGTCTTAATATTGTTGCCTTTGGCAGAGTCCAGCTTTGTAGAGCTAAGGACTGTGCAAGTTATTGCCTTGCTAAAATACCAAATGTCACTGTAAACACCCTTACTTAAGCAGGTCTGCGTTTCTTCCACTCTGAGACCAACAGTGATGCTAAGCTGTGGGACTGTGATCAGTCATCACATCACAACAGACAGGGACAAGGACAGGTTCACAAAATTCACCAGACTGAGGCCATGTGCTTGGATCTGACTCTCTTCTTCTGCAGATGAAAGGTTGGTATGCAGATTCTTTACAAAATACTAGAGATTTTGATAGTGCTAAATACATTGCAATCAGAGAAAAAGAAAGGCCACAGCAGTTTCACTCAGTATGTGAGGATGCTTGGATCCCAGGTTTAGCTTTGCCAACTAAATAGCATCAGGGATTAAGGAGTTCTCATTTCACACCTCAGGAATGCTCCAGTCCTGGGCAACAGCTCCCATCCCTTTAATTACAACCCCTCCCATGCCAGAAATTGTAACTGGAATCCAAGGGTTAGAAAACCAGACATACAAATATTTGTTGATGAGAGATACAAGGGAATATCCCCCACACACATTTGCATCCTGGTTTTGATATAAAACAGCACTGGCACACAGTATGAAAATGCAAACTTCAATAACATGCACTTGGAATCACCATGCAAGAGGAAGCAAAAATAAATAAGCAGTTGAAAAGTACCTCAGAAGTAACCTTTCTAGACAGTAATTTACAGATGTACTGGTAGAAAGGGAAAAGACCAGCATTAGTACATTGAACAAGCATGTTATCACTAGGAAACAAGAACAAAATAAAGAAACTGCAAGAACTGGCACATCCCAGAGTGTGAGATTTCAAGCAACTTGGTGTCATTAAAAAAAAAAAAAATAAAAAAAATTAGTCAGTTTGATGGTTTTTTAAATGACATTGCTTGGCCAGTCTCAGTCTTGTTTACCATCAGTGCTTGACCTGTTTTCTTGGTGCTGTTTTTTCTCTTTTTCTCACCTGTTGAAACCTCTATAGTAACACATCCTCTTTGGAAGAAACTGCCCCCTTGCCTGAGCAGTGAAGCTCTTCCAAGAGCAGATGTGCTTGATTTGCCCTGTTTCTGAAAGGCAAAACCTGCAAGCCCCGGCCAGCGCAGCCGCGGTGTAGCCGGACATAGAACAGAAGGTGGTGACGTTTGAAGGAAAGACAGGGTAGATGTTCTACTGAAACCACCCTTCTGCCTTTTGGTGTATCTTTTGTAGGGAAAACCAGAAAGTCTATACATGAGCACTGATGGTGCGCTCGGCATATGAGGGGGAGTTTCCATGGACATCAAACCTCTCCACAGTCCCACTCGGGAGACCGTGGCTGCTGCCCCTGCCCCTGCAGCAGCGCTGGCCCAGTTCAGCCTCGGGTGCCACAGCCCTCTGACTGCTCCCAGTACCCAAGGAAGTCTCTGGTTCCCCTCACTTACAAAAAGCAATGATGAGTCACGTTCAGCTCTCAGGACTTAACGCTCCAAGTGGCAGCTGCCTGTCTGGTTGTCAGTTATGCTCCTTGCCCTGCTCTATTTCATATATGCTTAAGAACAGGCCAGTGATGTGCTCTTTTGTTTCGTTAGTTACAGAAATCTTTTTTCCTGAGCTCGTGGGTCAATGTCCTCTGCTGACAAATCAAAGCTATTGTTTAAATAATTTTTGCTTAGCCTGGCATGTAAAATATTAGATCAAACTAACCGTGGTACAAGTGCAGCACTTCTTATTTGAATTATCTTTCCCCTGTCAGTGGTGGGAGTTGTTTACAAAAGGAAAGTGAAAAAAGGAAGGGAAGAGAAACAAAACACTCCTGCTGATCCAAGGTAGCTCTCCCTGGGATCTGCAGGACACTGCCCTCTAATAGGATTTCGGGTAGGCAGCAGCAAGAATGTAAATCTTGTTTGGCTCTATGCAATGGGCTTACAGAAGAGGAGACTGACAACAAAATGCAACACTGTGGGACTTCGATGTGCGCTGTGGCTCTGTAAATTCACTGCAGCCCTGACAATTTGTCCCAGAAAAATATCCATCCCACAAGTTGTCTGACCAGCACCAATGCTCTGGCAGTGCTCTTTGGGTGGTGAGCACCTGGGCAGCTTTAGCAGGAGCAGACCGCTGAGCTGGCACCCAGAGCACACCTCTCTGGTCAGATGCTGCCCAGGCCAGGTCAGGACATCAGAGCTCACTTCAAACTGCAGGAGAGACCAAGCAGTCCTGGCCAGCCTGCTTTCTAGAGGGCACATGTGCAGCTCTGCAAGCACCTGCGGAGTTGTACTCAGATAAGGTGAGCAGAGGTAGTTAGGTCTAATGTCATCGTACATGTTTTTTGTGTGCTCCAGCGTGTGTGACAAATGGCATGTGACCATCAGAGCTGTGGGAGATTTCAGCCACAAGCCAATGCTTCATGGGCTGGGCAAGGCACCTTCGCTCTTCACAGGGGTGGAGGAAAAATGCAGGGTGAGTACCAGCTGAGTGTCAACTCTTTAACAGAGCAGCTTCTCCACCGTGCCAAGTTTTCAAGCCACCAGACTGACAAAGACTCACTGTGGGACTCCAGAGGATCAGTTCGGGTTTGCATGTCAGGAGTTTTATGCCCCTCTATTTTTAAAGTTCCTCCCAGCTTCTACAAAGGGTGTAAAAGCTTGACACGTCTCCTGCAAACCTCTGAGCACCCTTCAGGGAAAGAGATCCTCTGGGGAGATGCCAGAAAACAGCACTCACTGGAGCAGGCGGAGCCACCCCATTTCACTGGGTGCTTTGGGGTGGGAGGGGAAACCAGGGCTCCTTCCCAAGACACGGCCCCAAGATGCCGCTGCCAGAACAAGGCACGCTCCTGTGCATGAGCTGGCTTCCTACGTGGCAGCAGGAGCATGGTGGATGTTGAGATCGTTTCTTTCAATGCCTTCAGTGGAAGAGGGACCAGAAAGGTTCTGGTGTGCACTGGAAATCAATCTGTTTACATTTTGAGTCAGCTCTCCTACTATGTTTTAGTTAACCAGCAGAAATGCAACAGGACCTCTCCATATCGCATTCCTTCTGATTTTAAGTATTTTATGCTACTGTGCAATATTTACCAGTAATGATTAAAAGCTGCCAGACCAGTGGAGTATTCGTTACAAACCTTCGCTTCTGTATACCTAATGAGACTCTACCTATAATGAAGGTTACTAGAAAGCAGCTTGTTTGGTGCATGAGCTCCTTGGCACTGGTGTCATCATTCTGACATCTCTGGAAAATGTCTGGAGGACTGCGGCTGCTTCGGGAAACACTGTGTCCTTTTAAGAATTTTTATATCGCATTTCTATCTCACTACCTTCTGCACTCATTGCCCACAGTAATAATGAGTCTGAATAAGAAATACCTCGTGATCTGCTGGAAACAGGTTGTATAACAGCTGCACGTGAATTTTGGTACTTCCAGCTATGAAATACATAGCTCTTCTTATTAGTGCCTCCAATAATGAAAACCTTAACTGGGTTAAACTCAACTACAGTAACGACTGAAATGAAGGCATTCATTTCACAAACTGAAATTCTGGCTGATTTTCTGTTTGCGTAGAAGAAAGACAACAAATCCAGTGGGAAACAGCATGCTGCCCACTGAAGGATCCAAGTTAATTTCTGAGACATTCCCAATCCAGTTCTGCAAGGAGTGGTTTCTGGGGAAGTTATCCACTTACACTGATTCCTGAGCACACAGAGATGGGACTTTGGGTGCCTACAAACACAGACATGAATACTTGTTTGATCCACAAAATTCAAAGGACCACTAAAATAACCCATTGGAGGGTCTTGGTGATATGTGTTTTAAAAGAGTCTGCCAATTCCAGGTACACCCAGTCCTTATTATTAATTAACTTAATTAAAATTAAATTTAATATGAGTTGCCTTTGATATTTGCAGTGACACTCTTTCTCTCCATTGGCTCTCACTCTTCCATTTCAAACACACTGGATCTTACAATGTGTTAAAATCCTTACACGTTTGCAAGGTGGTCTGAGCAGATTCTTGTGAAATAAATATTTTTGTTGTCTGAATGTTGGTTCCTGTGAGTCATGGTCTCTACTGCAGAGCAAAAAGTGAAAAGGAAAAGGGCACTTACACTGCTGTCATCCATCCTTTCTCGTCTCTTAGTTTTGTGTGTTTCATAATCTTCCATGAGGGTCTGCATCAGGTTCTTGGGTCGCTGGGCTCCCACAGGCTCCTCGGGTGGCAGGTCAGACTGTGAGATGGGGCCTTCTGTGGTGGGGGATGGAGGAGGCTTGATCTTCTCTATCTTTCCTGCAATGACATGAAAAGGAACGACCCTTTCTAAGCTGAACGACTCACAAGTTGTTTCCAAAAGATGACAGCTGGAGAAGCATTTTCAGCGGGGTTTAAATGAAGAAACAGTTTGGAATGAAGTCTATGAAAACATCTGGTAAATCAGGACAGTCATAAGCTTTTAAAACAACATTTCTCTTCCTGAAATCCACTACACTAAAACACTACAAAATCTTTTTACAAGACCTAGAAAAGTTATGAAATGATACAATGCAAATTTAACCCACCACTGTTGTTTACAGTAGTATCTGGCTGAATTATCCCTGTTCCCTCCTACAGGACACATTTCAGTTATGTGGAAATGTTTGTAAGACTCTGGAAAACTGCAAGATAAATTGTTTTCTGACTCAGACAATACAACGCACAGGATGCCACTGCTGTATGTCAGATGTCTAAAGAAGACATCTCATTAAGTGTTGCTGGCTTTTTCTCCCAGTGCTTTTTATCTGCTTTGTAAGAGAGATAGGCTGTGTGTCAGTCCCTGGTGCTACTCTTCTCTGTAGCTGATCCCTGCAAGTTGCAGAGGGTGCTCCTGGAGGGAGACCTGTGGTGGAGCAGGATGGGGTCTCTGTTCCACACACCCCTCATTCAGATAGGGCCCTTCAGTCTCCTGGAGGGAGGAAAGTCAGAGAGAAGTCAGGTTGCTCTCTGACTGAGCCCATTTCATCCAGGGGAGCCTGTTTTAAACAGTGACTCCGACTGAAGAGGTGGGTAAAAGGCAGGCCAGAGCAGGAAACTGCTGCAACGAGCTGTGGGAGAACTCAGAGGATGGACAACCCACATTTCTCCAGGGAGGACAGCCTGTGTTTCTCATCACCAGGCGCTGATCTGGGGTGAGCCACCCACCTTGTCCCAGTGGGAAGAATGAGGATGACAGGGTTGGGGAATAAGGGACAGGGGTCCTCAGCTAGGACAGGAGAAAGCAACGCTGAACCAAAATCAGGTTTCCTTTTCCATGGCACATCAGTTCTTTGAAACAAGATGGTTCAATGGATGCGAAAGAAAAAAAGATGAAAAGAAACCACCCCAAAACCCTTACAAATAAGTGAAGTCATCAGCAGGATCATGCAAACTTTCATGAACCTTCCTGTTGCTGAGACAAATGAAAACTCCAGCTGCTCCTCCAAAAAGCATCATGACAGTGATAGCCACTAGAGAGCAGCCTTGAAACCGCCTCTAAGAATCAGCAGGATTTATTCTTGAAGGAAGAAGTGAAACCTGAGTCGACGCTGTAGAAGTATTTTACAAAAAATCCCCTTGCCAGACTTGTTTCATTTCTGACCAGTATGGAAAAACCCAGCATCACTAGTTTATCATTACAGGCTTAGCTTAAGCTGGCCATTGGAGGGATGAGGCTGGGAATTCGTCCCCCTTAGATCACCCCACCAGAGACTGGACGGGGAGTTTCTATAGGCCCAGGTTCTTCTCTGGGTGGCACCAACACCAGCTCCACCAGACCAGGAGATATGCAGCGAAAGCAGAGGCCAACAGCAGGTCTTCTGCTGCCCATCTGCACACACGTGTGACAGCTTGGTCTGCTCAGCAGGAAAAAGTAAGAACAACCTTCACGTATCCCATTGGGTTCAGTGGGTATAAAAGTCTGCTGAAAATAAAAGATCTGATTAAGGGTCAGATATCTTGCTGTATTACTGAATTCTTACACTACTAAGTAACTGTCTTGGATGTATTCAAGTAATGCTGGAAGAATCAGGCTTCTCAGATGTCTGCCTAGCTTCTGCTTTCCCCCACGGATGCAGACACATCACAGGATGCTCAGATCTACAGACAAGCCTTATGCCTGAAAAGAGCTCCTTCCATTCCACTTTCTCTGGAAAACAATGCAAACCGTAGGCTCTGGGGATCTGCATTTTAGAAAGGGGCTATCTCCAAGCAGATCCATTCTCCCTAAATGGGAGACCCATCAATTTCCATATTGTAGCAGCAAACTGCCGTAACACACAACTGTTCTGAGTGTGCTGGGCAGTGTTACCATGAACAGTGTCACAGTTCCCTTTTCACAAATAGAGAAGCCAAGGTAGTAAGCAGATTTGGCCACAGCAAAACAGAGTTTTGCTGGTTTGTATCGACAAGAAATGATGCTTATACAACCATTTCCTCAGTGTGTTTGGATTCCACTAAAAGCTCAAGAACTCACAGTGTCATTTAACTTCTCTTCACAGAGGAGTAAGTGTCTCCCTCCAGTTCATGAAAATTTTAAGAATCTGTAGGCAGGTGGAAGAGGGAGATCCTAGCAGCACCAACAGTGTCAGAAAGGCAAGCAACCAGCACAACCATCAGTGAGGTTATGCTTTGATGATGCGTTGTCCGAGGCTTCAGGGCTCTCAGAACAACCACAGAAAAACTCTGTGATCCTGATGGAGAGCTTCAGTCCAGCACAGACTTATTCTGCCAGTTCAGACTGTGTTAGTAATGTTGTTGGGTTATTTTTCTTTTGGCAGATTTTCATCCAGAGGATACTGTTCTCAGGCAGAAGTCATTCAGCATAAAAGCATCATGAGACGCGATGATCAGAGGCACTTTCTACTTCCACAGTCCCATGCCACACCTGATACACACAGACACTGCTGGTGGCCCTTGCCCAAATCCAAACTGAAACTGTGCTCTGACTCAAATGGAAACAGGGTCATACTCGTGGGATACCAGCAAAGATTGCAGCTTGATGGTCACACTTGCAAGTTAACAATAGTTAACAGCAGTGTCTTCCCCTCCAGGGGAAGGCAGTCCCCTGAGATCACCTTTACAGCTGTTACAAGATTGAGTACAGGCTATAGCATCCCAAATCTTCACCCTCACATTTACATTTTTCTCCTCTTTCAAAGGGACTCCAAAAAATGTTCTGTGGCTTTAGTTCTGGTGATGGCTCCCTCCACTCTCTGGCTTCAGAGATCTAGTAGGAAGCTCCTGGGATTTGATTCTCTTAATTTCCTGCTTGTTCTGCTACTTGGGGTAGGCGTGAGCTGCTCTTAAGGATAGCACTGTTTCTCAGCTCTGGGGAGAGCAAGAGAAAGCTCAGGAAAAGGGCAGTTGCTGCTGTGTCCCAGTCTGCCGGCTGCAGGACATCACCTGACATCTCTCTGCAAAATCAAAGACATGTAAAAGTTGGGGACAAACTAGCTTTCTCTTAACCAAAACCTCTGCAGAGCTCTGGGGAGCAAGAGGGTCTGTGATGGTGACATATACCCTGTGGAGCATGATGGGTGTCCAAGCACTCGCTGCAAGCTGAGGAAGGATGCTCAGCTGATTTGCTGCAATATCAAGAAGAGTGACTGAGGGGAGGCCCTGGGACAAGGGCCTGAGTCACCACTAAGTAACCAGCAGGTACCAAGGGCAAACTTACAGTGTTAATTAAGGTACAATGGAGATGGGAAGAATGGGACTTAATGCAAGTAAGAGCAACCATTTTACAGATGTGCTGGCATTTTTTAAAGACATCTGCACAGCAGAGAAAACTTTTCAAAATAATTGATTTCATTTAGACAGACTGTTTTAGGAGACTACTCTGTGCTGGACGCAGGGGATAGTTGAAGTATCTAAAAAAAAGTCCCTCTGGTAATACGTAGCCTCATTACCACTCAGATGAAAGGTGGGCTTCTTTGGTCTTCTTGAACACCAGTTGAGCAACACGAATATGCAAACACACAAACAAACATTTAAAAAAGAACCTCTTGAAGACCTTCTCACTTCATACACATTCTCCACTAGGGTGGGAATAAGGAAGCAAATGACAAATGAGCTGGGTTAGTCTGCTGTTAAGGCACTCCTGGAGGTGTTCAGGGGATGAGGAACAGAAGAATACAGAGGAATCATTCAAGAGAATTATGAACTTTGTTTTTTTCATGCCGGTGCTAATCAAGGAGTAAGAAACAGTACACTCCATAAACTCAAAAGCTTAATTTCTCCTCTAGTGTTTCTGAAAATTCTCATTTTAAAAAGGGGATCATGCATGTGTATTATACCAGATCCTTATTCTTTACATGTATACAGGCCATTAAAAATTTTGCAGTGGCCACAAATATTAAAAATATTTTGCCCCGAAGTTTTTGTTTCTCCTGCCACCATACAAAAAGTATCTTCAGGCTGCAGCTGAACCTGAGAAGTTTCCTTAGCGTAAGTATTTACTAGTGAAAAATGAAAAGTGGAAAATGGTTTACAAGCTGAAGTGGCTCCTTGGACAGAGGTTTACACTCCACAGTTGTCACTCAGGAAAAGAAAGCAATGCCAAGTGCAAAGCATTTGACACTGTCCTGCACAACACTGTGTCCAAATTGGAGAGACATCGATTTGACATATGAACCACTGGGTGGATAAGGAATTGGCTGGACGGTTGAACTCAAAGAGTTGTGGTGAATGGCTCGATGTCCAAGTGGAGAGCAGTGACGAATGGAGTTCCTCAGGGGTCGGTGTGGGACCAGCACTGTTAAACATGTTTGTTGGCAACACGGACAGTGGGATTGAGTGCACCCTCGGCGAATTCACCAATGACACCAAGCTGTGTGGTGCGGTCAACACACTGGAGGGAAGGGATGCCATCCAGAGGGACCTGGACAGGCTGGACAGGTGGGCCCATGCAAATGTTATGGAGTTCAGAGCAAGGTCAAGTGCAGGGTCCTGCCCATTGGTTGAGGCAATCCCAAGTACAGATCCAGGTTGGGTGAGGAGGGGATTGAGAGCAGCCCTGCAGAGAAGGACTTGGGGGTACTAATGGGTGGTAAATTGACTGTGAGCCAGCAATATGTGTTTGCAGCCCAGAAAGCCACCCGTGTCCTGGGCTGCATCAAGAGCAGGGTGGCCAGCAGGGCCAGGGAGGGGATTCTCCCCCTCTATTCCACTCTCGTAAGAACCCCATAGCAGCTGCAGTGCTATGCTCAGCTCTGGAGCCCCCAACATCAGAAGGATACAGACCTATTGGAGCAGGTCCAGAGGAGGCCACAAAGATGGTCAGGGGGCTGGAGCACCTCCCCTGTGAGGACAAGCTGAGAGTTGGCTTTGTTTAGCCTGGAGAGGAGGAGGCTCTGGGGAGACCTTATAGTGGCCTTCCAGTGCTTAAAGGGACCTCCAGGAAAGATGGGGAGGGACTCTATTAGGGAATGTAGGGGTAGGACAAGGGGCAATGCTTTTAAACTGAAAAAGAGTAGGTTTAGATTAGATATAAAGAAGAAATTCTTTATTGTGAGGGTGGTGAAGCGCTGGCAGAGGGTGCCCAGAGAAGCTGTGGCTGCCCCCTCCCTGGAAGGGTTCAAGGCCAGGTTGGACGGGGCTTTGAGCAACCTGGGCTGGTGGAAGGTGTCCCTGCCCATGGCAGGGGAGTTGGAACTGGATGATCTTTAAGGTCCCTTCCAACCCAAACCACTCTATGATTCTGTGAGAAGAAAGAAGATGACAGCATACATACATCCCTCACTATTTGGAGGGAACAGTTACCTGAAATTTAAATGTACCTGATCACTTGCATTTCTAAACTGCAACCCCCCCCCCGAACTTCTCCCATCTGGTGAAATTCTCTCATCTAGTTCATCGGCTGAGGAAAACAGAAGACAACTGCTTGGTGAGCAGCTCTCCCAGATGCGTGTGCAGATGGGTCTGAGTGCTTGTGAACAAGTGCAGGGAACGCAATGTGCATTCTGCCTCACCTGGAAATGCTTTGGTGACAAACACCAAAAAGGCCTATGTGGCAGCTTCAGGAAAGCTTCTCTCAGGCATGGCTTCTTGTATTAGGGATTTCCCCATGCCTCATGATGAGACAACAAATATTCACAAATGGTTTCTCTCTAACAGAAAAGCCTTCATTGAACCAAGACTCCTCATGCAATGATAGTCACATCTCCTCTGATGAACAGAGTTACTTGAGCCAGGCACTACAAGGAAGTTAGACACAAGTTCTTCATAGTCTAACTAATCCTAATAAAAGGAACATGGCAATTACACCACCAAATGTATGCTGGATTTTCTTGTGTCACACACTCATCATCCTGTTCAAATAAACTATCAAACAGCCCCAGCTGCTCTGCCCAGGAGGGATGGTGTACTGCCTGCACACTGTAGGAGAAAACTACTGGCTTGCTATGCACCTGCTCAACACCTCGCCATGCGCAGCAGGTGCTGCAGCAAAACAACACAGGAAACGTTCAGATTTAAATATAGCTCCACAAACATCCTGGGATCCATGATGACTCTCCACTTAGCTGTGCTCAACCATTTTTCTGGTCTTTCTTGGGTTTCCTCATGCAGGAAATCCAAGTTTTTTTGGAATGAAATTCTTACAGCTTCTTCCCTTCACCCTTCCAGAAGTACCCTGGAGAAGGTCCTTGTCCTGAGTGCACACAATACATAGTCCTTGTTCCACTGATCTGAAATGGGTTAAAAGGCTTCTCTGAAGCATCCCAGTTTTAAGGGATACTTGTTAGCAGTACAGAATTTTATTACTATGAGTAACACTGGCTTGTGCCAGCTGATTGGCAGACACCAAGTTTAATGTTATCATCAGTTGTATGAAATTTGTATGTCAGGGTGGTAAAAACAGCCTGTTTGCTATCTAAAGTAATTAGCAGTTATTTCACACATACACCCACAGGAACTGTGTTAATCTTCCACACTTCAGTCAAATTAGCAGTTCAGTTCACTGCAGTCTTTTCTTGTGGTTTGTGTTTCTGTTATCCATACAACCACAGTTCAAAGCAGTGAAGTGGGGCAGGATTACTAAATAACCAGGGACCACCAGGAGTCCTAGTAAAGCCACTCTGCCCAGATCACCACCAAAAAGCAACCTGATAGGTAGGCCACTGCTAATTAAGTTAATTACTGCACCTTCTCAAAAGAGTTCTGGTGAGTTTACACTTTCCCACTTAAGGATTAGCAACAGGTTTTTCAAATTTAAACTTGATCCCCTAATTCCTTTCTGCTGAGGTATCCCGATGTTAAAAGAAGACTGACAATTCTTTCTCTCAGAAAGGCAATTTGGTCACAGAAGTACCTCTCTTTCTTCTTTTCATCATCATAATAACTTTTATTATTATTACTACTACTACCATTACTATTATTACTATTGTTATTACCACTATTATTACTATTTTCATGATTTTTCTATGTGATACTAGATATTCAGATTACAGTAACGAGCATGTTCTACAGCATATTCCTTACTGTGCCTACCACAAGTAAACTTTCTCTTCTGCTTTGTAAATCACCACTGTAACTGGCTGCAATGAAGCTTTACAGCCAGATTTTCTTGTCTCCACTGAATCACATTTTGCCTCTGTTTTTGTAAATACTGAAAAGATGCTGTAAATAGTAAAATAAAAGGAAAGTTGCTGCCATACTCCTAAATATTGCACAGTACCACTTCTCCCAATTCTTAAGGATGCCTTCAAGCTTTAACTGTAACACAGCTGGCTAAAGGGACAGCAAGGATGAGATGAGGGTATACAACCTGCAATGCTCAGGGTGCTGAGCTAACTTCCGCCAGCTGAGAGCACTGCTGAGCACACCCACTGTTAGAAAGGACCAAAAGAAGATTTAAGAATGACTTCGGCAATGCTCTTTGTGGTTTTTTTGATCAATGACATCCTTTCACATTGCCACATATTCATCTTTTCTTAGAAATTAATTCTTTGCCTTGTTACCAGCTGCAAATTGCAGTAGCTTGAGTCACTGGCTAACAGATCCCAATTTTCTTTCTTGATCATATAGCAGTTGGACATTTAAAGGAAACTGCCTGGAATGAGTCATTATAAATATAAGTTCGTCATTCTCACTAGAATGTAATTTATAATGAACATTTTAACATCAGACACAAAGTAAATGCCTTGTGTAGAGAAATAAGAATGAGCAAAGTACACTGTTTTCACAGATGCTCTGTTAAAACAAGCATTACTGTCAGCAGCCCTTCCATCATCACTTGTGAGTAAAAAGCAACCATTATCAGCCTAATTTCAAGTACTTGCAGCTTCAGAGGATGCTGTTTAAAGCAGGCAGGAGGACACCTTTATACAAGTCCTCCTAGATGAAGTCTGTGGTGCTCTGCCTCTCACGTCTTGTCAGACATTGCTCAAAACACCTCAATTTACAGACTCCATATCAAAAATGCTGTTCTACATTAGTAATAACAATAGCACTTCAGAGAAATTAGCAACATCTGCTACATTTTTAGGCAAGAAACATGTAAAAATCCACTTCCCTGAAGAAACAAAACAAAGTATCCACTATTTATGTGCTGCATAACACTCCAAGTTCACAATTAGACTGGTAATGGACTAAATCCAGGCCTTGTTCAAGCTTGCCATGACTTTCAAAAGAAAAGGATTACCCTGCACAATTTTTGGAAGCATCGCTGGCTCAGATTTACACCAGTGGAAATGAGGATGGAATTTAAGTACTCTGGGTAAAATGAATACTTCTTCACAATGATCACTATTAATAAAAACTTCTAAGTACTTGCAAAGCATATGCAGGTTTATACTCATAAATATCACTACACAGAAATAAGCCTGGCATGTAGTTGTTTGTTTGTTTGTTTGTTTTTTAATTTATTTCTTTTTATATGCTATATTAAGAAGGCATGAATGCATGTTTTATTTTTTTGAAGAGGGGAAGGAGGAGAGAAATATGCTGTAACTGCTGTGAAAACCTCCACAGGGACCCGGAAGCTGATCAGAGGACTCCTACTGAATCCATTAAGCATATTTTTTGTGATGCCTGTGAATGACACCAGCTGAAATACATGGCAATTCACAGCTCTGAAGATCTTTTTACCAAAGTTCATTAAGAAGATCAAGAAATACCTGAAAACAGAAAGCAAAACACACACAAAATGAAATGTGATTCAAAATCTGAAAATCTCCACTACCTCTTCACTTTCTTAATGATGGTGCAAGAGAGAAAGCCTGTTGAAAAATGCTTTGTATGTTTGTCTTTCAAATAGCCACACAGCTGCAAAAACTGCTGCTGCCCTTCCTTGTGATGATCCTAAATTTCAATGGGTGGTCTAAGCAGCACCAGTGGTAGACATGCCACGCTACAACGTGGCAAGGGATGCACAGAGCATAGGGTTACCTAATCATCATCAGGTTATCTAAGTTCCTTCTGCACTACCTTTGGGAGAAAACAAAAACATCCAGAGGTGTGCTCACCGACAGAAAGTTCGGTTGTCCCATGTCCTCCTCCTGCCTGCAGTTTCCAGGCAGACAAAATCATGACAACCCTCCCACCACCTTAAAAATTACATATTCATTCAAAAATTACATAAAGCTGAAACTGACCTGACCTTTCAATCACATTTCACTTCCACTGCGGTGCTTTGGTCTCTTACCTGGTGAAGTTTTGTAAGACACAGTTCTGGTGGGCATGGGTGGTGCGCTCTTCGGAATAGGGCTTGGTGCCAGCTGCAGACCTTGCCGCTGCCTCTTCAGCTCCTCTTCTCGTTCCTGGGCAGCTCTGATCTCTTCTTCTATCATTGACAAAGTCCGCTGCTTTCTTGACCGTAACTTGAAAGGGCCCACACTCACTTCAGGCTCCTGCGTGGCCAGAATGGAGGCAGTGCTCCTCAGCTCAGCTGCCTCTGAATACTTGCTGAAATAGCTGACTTCATGCCTATTTTCCTCCACAAGGAATGGCTGGCTGGCTGAGTACACGGGTGATTGCTGCAAACTCTTCCCTTCCCTGAGTCCTGAATCTTCCTCTTTTGAAGTCTTTGGTATGGTGTCCCTTTTTTCTCGAACAGGTGAAGACACCTGAGGTGGCTCAAACATTGGGTTCTGCTGGTCCTTGGAGGCTGGAGCTGGGCCAGTGGTGGCTGGCTGCTCTTTGACCACTATCTCCTTCTCTGCTGGTATTTCTTCTTCCTTGCAGTTTGCTTTATCCACCTGCTCAGCTATGGCTTGTTGGATGGCATTTTGAACCAGCAGGCCAGCATGGTACTCCAGCTGGTCATCAATCAGCATGGAGTCTGCCAAGGTGGAGGAAGGTGAGTCACAGCCCAGGTCACTGAATGACTTGGAGATGCCTTCACCCCTGCAGTCTGCTGGAGTGTCAGCCTGTGGGGTTTGGGGCAGTGAGAAATCGGCCAGCGAGCTTTCCTGCAGGGCGCTCATAGTCTCATTGGAGGCACCACTGTCGCTGATGTTATCCATGCTAAAGTCATTGGAAAGGGTCTCCAAGACAGTGGTATCCTGAGACCTGACAGACAAGTCATCCAAACCTGAGTCAAGCTCCTCTGGAGGGGAAGAGGCACTGCCTGACTTTGGGAACTGGTCTGGCACACTCTGTCCATCATCCTTCACCACTGTGAAGACTGCTCTTGCACTCATGAATTCTCCATCCTCCGCCCACAGTTTTGAGGCCTGTCCAGCTCTGGGACTATCACTGCACGGCAACTCTCTTATTGGGTCAGCAGTGGCAGTCTGAGCACTTGTATCATCTTCTGAGGTACAGGAGACCTTCTGTGCTTTGACAACAGTGGCATTGTTATCCTCGAGCTGTCCTGTTTGCCCACACACTGAAATGGGTCTTGTCACGGAGAATGGTGGCTTGTCTACATGCGGAGAATTGAGGCTTTTGTAGAATGGTTTGATGGAGAACATTTTGGGTGCTCCTGACCGCCTTGGTGGGGCCTGACCCTGAGGTGGACCTGAATGCTCCATCAGCTGGAACTGCTTTCTGGCAGCTGAGAAGTCAATTTGCTCTGTGACAATGTCCTCTTTCTTGATATTGGCTGGCTCTGGTGGTATAAAGGAGCAGCTGACCTGTTTGGGGGATGTTGGTATTGCACCTTGCTGATGCTGTCTCTCCTTGCGCTCCTTGTACTTCTTGTGGGACTCCAGATGTTCTTCATCCAGTTGATCCTCCAGGGTCTTCTCTTGGGGAGGGTTCCACCATTTGGCAGCGATGTTGGGGTTTTTCTTGACAGCCTGGCTTTTAATGAGTTCTCTTCTTTCTTTTTCAAGTTCCATCATTTCCTCTGATGGTCTCACCTTGCGGACCCTGTATTTTTCCTTCTCTTCATCATCTTCAAAGAGCTTTGAGGGCTTCTTGTCTTCATGGAATGCTCGTAGTTCAAATTTAGCCTCTTTCTTAAGGGTTGTAAGAGTTGTTTCTCCATCCTTAGAAGATCTTCTAGAACTGTTTGAAGAAGTGGGACTTCCTGGCACCTTCAGACTCTCCCTAGTGTCTTCCTTCACTCTACCCAAGGAATGGCCATTAGATTTCAGGTTCTCATCTGTTATGCCAGCTTCACGTGGTTCAACTACCAAGGGTGCCTGCTTGTCAGCTACATTTTCTTCCCTTTCACTGGAGACTGAATCATTATTGACATTAACAGATGCTCCTGAGCCATCCATAATGGAGACTGAACTTGGTTCAGGGGAGGATGTCCCATTAAAGGTATTATCTGCAGCAGAATCACAGCAATTTGCCTCCAGCACTTCATCTAGGTATCTGATCTCTTTAGCAACTTCACTGTCCAGAGATTCGTGCCTGTCCTTAAGTCCATTGTGGCTGGCAGCAGGGGAAAAGAAGTGGGTTGGACTGTCTATGGGATGTGGTGAAGCCACCGTGGTGATGCTTTTATGTTCAGAAACTGGAACTTCAATTTCCATTTTCTCTTCCTTTGTAGCAAGCACAGTAGCTGGCTCCAAGAAATTGGCACAGTTTTGGTCTCTGTTTTTTCTCAACCTGATGTCATCCTCAGGGATTCTGGAAGATTTCTAAAATAAAAAGAGAAGAAAACTATGAATCAGTCATGTTGCTAAAAAGCAACATTTTATTTTTTTGAAGAGTAAACACCATCTGGAAAGCAAATCCCAGCACTTCTCAAACTTGAGATTAAAGCAGCCCCTCAGAGTGTGGGAAGGCAAGGCAAATCATTAACACTGAAAACAGAATGTTACCTTACCATAAGCTGGACAAGGCACTAAAAGAACATCAAACTTTCATTTAAGTATCTCCCACCTGCTTACCACCCTCACTTTGTCATTATTTCATGCCTGTGTCCTGGTTTGACACTAAAAATGATTTTTGGATTTCCCATTTATTAATGACTTGACAATTGAGGTTCTTCAAAGGTTGGTATATGCAGCACACACCACCTATCATCTTGGTATTTTAAAAATGCTTTCCACACCCAGAAGAAATCTCATAATGCTTCTACAGATTAAAAGTATTGCTGCCCTCATTTTGCAGAAGCAGATGCTAACATGCAAGAAGAGTAGGCGATTCATCGCAAATTAAGAAAAAGGACATGGCAAGAGCAAGGAATGTTCATTTCTCAGTGGATCAATCCTGGTCATCAAACACAGCATAGAATTACACAGTGCTGGAAAGACATGGGGTCTTTCTACAACCCACACGGAAACCCACACACAGCTGGACCTGGGAGACGGGAAGTGTTTGCAACTCCCACGGCATGGAGACCACCACAAGGAGCATGACAGGGACCAGAGTCATGATCTTGGACCTCCCACTGCTTTGATCTGCAGTGCAGATGGACTTGATTCATATTTCTCCCTGCTCTCAAGGAGGGTATTGAAAGGAACACTATTTATGTTCATGTATGGGCAAATTTTACTGATCAAGCAGCCTACTGAACTTCCCATGAGCAAAGTCTCAAGGAATTTCTGATTAAGCTGGTAACGTGCTGATGAATTTCTCAGTAATTCTTCACTGCTGAAAGGCAAAAAAAGTAAACACCAAAAGAAAAGAAGAGGGCATTTTCACCATTATTATTCAAAAATAACTTGCTAACTCTAACTCTCCATAACTCCTGGAAACCAAAAGTGAGACATCTATTCCCTCTTACTAACATTTTAAAATAGAAATTTGATGTCTGAGGTCTCTGGCTCCCTTTCCACATGTTTCCATGTGTGAGGCATGGGCTTGGGAAGTAAATGGCACTGATCAAACTCTGTGAACTCAGTGGCCACTCAACAAGGGCACCATTGTCTGATAGTCACCCCCACCCTTGCTGTCCCTTATCCTGCATGCTATAAATACACTGCGGCAGCAGATGACCAGCTAGGAGTACAATGGCACTTACCAGTGACCTGAACAATCTCATTGCCTCTGGGTTTATATAGGCAGTAAAACACATTTGACACACCTTAAGGAATTACAGCCAGCCAGAAGAGCTTTCTTTCTAAAAGCACTCTGAAAGAATTTTCTGTCTAATTATGTAGTTGCACACAGTTCAAGACAATGCTGGCTTCATCCATTACATATTTTCTTCTAACTTGTCCTTAAACACCAGCAAAAAAACTTTAAAAACAAACAATCAACCAACCTGTTTTTGTCTATTTTACTTGATATACTTCACTGGTTTTACTTGCATTACACCTTCTATTAACCCTAGAAATTCTCCAGCCAAAGTTTCTAGCAGTGATCTTAAAGCATATTACATTTTTCACCATTCAAATATCTAAATGTGGCTTGTTTCTTCTTTAGTCCTATTAAGGATATATTCAAGAAATTAGATGTTCTGCAAACAAATACAGAACAACTAGTATAAAAAGTCCTTACTTTTTTGAGTGGGCACAGCAGGAGTGGAAGAATAAACTTTCTTTTAACCTGAAAAGGCAAGAATTGCTCTTGATTTACCTGCAGAGCTCCAGGTATCATGACAGAATGGCTACTCAGGTAACAGGACTAAGACTGCAATACCTTCCTGATATTTTGACTTAAATCTGCCCCGTCTGACTTGCTGGTGCAAAACAGGGGATGTCGCTACCTGGAGCAGTCTGTGCAAAGGGACATAATCATCAGTGCAGGACTACTGGTTGTCTCCTTTCCCACAAATCGTAAGTATGCCATCATGCTCCTGCTAACATTTCCTCCTAAACAGACAGATCAAAGCCACTAGTGACATTGGTATCTATGTGTCCTCTGTAGCCACAAGAGCACATCTTCAGTGGATGCAGAAAACCAGGTGATGAAGCTGTGCACCCCAGCCACTGAAACACATCTCCCTGAAGAGCCAAACCAGAGCCAATGGACTTCCCAGTATGTTCTAGTACCTTCATGCCATGCAGCTGGGAATATGCCCGATTGTCCCAGAAACACCTTTCATTAGAGCATGTCTTCTTCCATCACTGCTTTAATGTATGAACCATTTCAGATCATACCATGTTTGGGTATTCAAGTTAGGGAACAGAACCACATACACAGTGTTTTACCATTTTCTTAACGAGTAAGAGCCCATCTTCTCACCAGAGCTGCAACCCATAGCTGACAATTAAGGTATATACACGTAACTGTCTACTCCGGGCGCACACTTCTGACAGTAGGCAATTATGAAAGTGCATGTGTCTGAGCAATTAGTGTGTCACATGTCATTATGTAGTAAGACAGACAACTATGAACTAAAACCTATGAGGAAACATTGTTACTTATGGGACAAAGCCTTTCTTTGCTGGGGATTAGTAACTGAGCAAGGAGAAGAACTCCCAGCAGGGCAGAGAAGACAGGAAGGAATGCTAGAAGAGGAAAAAAATATGATTAAGAAAACACTCAGTTTTTCCCTCAACACATTCTGGCAGAATCTGGGGACAATTTTGTGAGGTCATGGCAATGGAAGTACAGTCCAGACACTCCTGTGAGGAGCTGAAGTCAATCTACTGATGCATTACCTGAAGAAGATAGCAAAGAAGATCGTAAGGATTAAAGCAGCTGACAAAACAAAGCTTTTCAAGACAGTCCAGGCCACAGAGCCTGTCCAGGATAACTGTCTGGGTCAGGGAAAATGGCACAGACTGGGATGATGACACCATAGGTGGGAGGAGGCTTGAAGGGGGAGGGTGGTGAGAGACACACAGACCCCCTGCCTCAGCTGTTTGGCAGAAGGAGGCTTGCCAGAGCTGCTTTTGCTCCTCGGTGATAAGTATGTACCAACAGCTTTGTATTTGCCACCTACAGAGAGGAGGCTTTTCAAAGCCTGCACCATTACAAAGGCCTGTAAATGGGAAAAGGGCTGCATTCAATCCTAATTGCAGTCAGCAGTACAGTGTTCACAGTGATTCCCATACACTGCTCATCTACACTCAGAGTTTCCAGAAGTTACTGTTACATTTACACAGTCTCAGAATATTTGTTCATTTCTGTTTGTCAAGATGCAACTAGGTAATTAGTGTCATTTCTACAATGCTGCTGCACTTTAGTAAACTGCAGTTATTAGCAGCTTAGAGAATTATTAGCATATTTCCTCCTTGGTTGAATTCTTCATCTACAAAAGTGTAAGTGTTTGGGCAATCAACTCTTATAGAAGGAAAAAAATGTGGGTGTGCTACTAGCAAGACCCAGCAAATGTACTGCCAGTGCCTTCCTTTGTTTGATGCAATGCAAAATGCATATGACAACAAGTGGGAGGCAATCCTTCTGAGCCACATCCACATTCTTCTGAAGCAAGTGGTGGGGGAGGGGAGAGAGGAAAAGATTAAACAATTAAAAACTCTTAAACCACAGTTTCCTCATTGCAGGCTTCTACCAATCACTCCAGCCAAATTTCAGGACAGTTTTTGATGCTTTTGGTCTCCTGGTGTCATCAGCATTGTTGACTTTTCATTTCTTCAGGTTTCATCTTCCTTTGGAGATATCCTGTACCGAACCTGCTTCTCCTTCCACTGTCTGATCACTGAGACACTATGTTGTTCAATCCCTTCCCCTGTGCTCTTGGATCTAATTCTTGTCCTGCCATGTCTCCAGCAGTTTTAGTATAATAGCATAACTTATCATATTTGCACGTGGTTGACTGGCTAATCCACACCTCCCTGCTGAGGTCATTCATCTCCCTCTTCACTTACTGTCCTGGTCTGCCTCTCCAATGTCTCTTCGCAAAGGAGAAGGAACCAAATGACGAATTTGCTAGGGGGTTGACTCTGGCAAAGCTTCAAGAAAGTGGCTGCTTTCATTCAGCTCATCCTTTTGAAGAACACAGTCACCATCTGCATCACAGATGGAGCCAGTTCCGAGCACTGCAAAGATACAGAAGTCATCTGCACCTCTGTGCTTCCAGATGGCCACCCTGGCCAGTGACAAAACCCCTAGCTACATAGCTATTGCTCTGCTCTTGACAGCAACAGCAAGTATTTCTTTGGAAAAGTCATTTTCTGTGAAAGAATGGTATGACACAGAAGTGTTGCAGTTCTTCAAGACCCAAAACCAGCAAAAGCAGAGTTTTACAAGGTGCTAGCACCCATCCCTCACAGCTTGTGTTCACTACCACACAACAGGTACTCAGAGAGGTGCCACCATCCCACCCAGGAATGTCAGCCCAAACCACTGTGATGGCTCCTGTCTTATGTCAGCTGGTATGCTCCCTCCCTCCCTCCCATGGCAGGCTTTCACAGGGTGGCTGCACTCCATCCACCTCCAAAAATGTGGTGATCCTCCTCATCGCTGGAGGGAGAAGAATGTTCCACATGGGAGCCTTTGCAGAAAGCATTCTGAAGAAATGGGTCAAACACTGTGTTTTGAAACTTCCTGTTTGGGTGAGCTAAGAGAAAGCTGCAGCAGAAAACTCTTCAGAAGATCCTGGAACGGGAGAAGAAAAGGGATGCAGCTGATGATGTAGTGATCAAGAAAAGGAAGGGGATTTCTACTCCCATTACCTACAGGAACCATGCCTCTTCATTAACAAAACAAACAAACAAAAAGCAGCTCAAAACCAAAGCGCTGTATTCTTGCTCCTGTGTGAAAAGGTCCCATTTTTCCATACAAT